AACGCCCGCGGCAACCGCGCCTTGAATCCCAGGATCGCCTCAAACTTCGCGAAGGGCGGGTTGCCAGTCTGTGCGCGGAGGACATATGCCGCACTGCGTCAACACGTGTAAAACAGGCACCTCACCGAGCTGAAAATACCGTCCTAAATGTGTGCACCCATCTCCGGAGGAACCTCCTTTTGGGGAGCCACCATTTTTTGGAATAGCTTCAATCTGAGGGCGTAGATGCAGCCTTGGCCATGGCCCATACGCCGTGAGTCAAAAGGGAGGGAGCTATGAAGCTATATGCAGCTATGAAGCTCAATGGAACTCGCTGTGCTGCAGTCCCTGTGTTAGACCAATAGCTGTTGCTGCTTTTGGGGCCTGACCCCCCCTAACAAGAAAACGCCGTGCACTTAGTTGCACTGAGCGAGTCGCAAAAAATAAAAAAATAAAAAAACGGCCCAGCGGTTGCCGAATGCAAAGCTCGCCTGCGCTTTCGCCTTGGCCTCATACTCCTCCTGGTTGCGGCACACCTGCCTCAGGATTTCGACGCGGAGAAGGGATCCCTTACCAATTGGAATCTCGCGCAGCTTGGTGTTGATCCCATTTTAATCAACCCCTGTTTTCGCCCATGCACGCAGAGAAGGGACTCCCACAGCTCGGTCATGTTGACTCCAAATTAATCAACCCCAGCTTTTTCATAGCGGGGTGTTCCCCTCCAAAAGTGATGATTCTCGACTAAACCCAGGGAGAAGCCCCCTATTAGTAAACTGGGCGCGTAGAATTAACCTGCCCGTCTTTAAACGGCTTGCAACAGGCTCAGGGGCACACCTCGAACCCAAAATCAGCAAGCAAGTCATGATTTGCACAGTCTTCCGTCATATTCCTCACCTCGAACAGAAGAAACGGCATTTGATGCAGTTATTCTGCAATTTATACAATAGTTCCAAAACCTGAATTAAGAATTGGATCCCCAAGCAAAGGATTTCTACCACAGTGAGCTCGTTTTACCCCCACTTGAGCTCGCTATAGAATAGGCAGAGTTATGATGGGTGAGCAAATCAACGAGGGGCTAAGCCAGCAATACCAAAGCAAATCCAAACAGCATTGAGCCAATGCAAAGTAAGTGCAAGTACCCTTCTTTCCACCAACGTAGCACCTGTGGGCAGGTACCTGGAAAATCAGTTTGCTCTTGAAGGGACCCCCGTCAAGTGCCATGGTAGTCAGATGCCATATAACTACACACAACTACACATTTCGGGACACGGATGTCATACTTCTGTTGCAGCTTAAATGACTTCGGACATAGCCATGGATCTTCGGGGCGGAAAGGGCGCTTGCCCGTTTCGACCTGGGGACCATTTCGTCTTGGCGGCTTTCCCCACATAAATAATCTTCAGCTATCAATATTGGAATAGCCCCAGTGTTTTGGTATTCCATTGTTGCAAGCTACTTTTGTTTAACTCAGGTGGCTTTTGGGGGGCATCGGTACTACCGAATCTCCTTCGATTGCAGGGCTCTTCCAAAGCTGGCCGGCAAAGCATCCCAACGCGCACGACTCGGCTTCGCAGCACCCAAGTTAAGCTTTGCACCCTGCCAGTTCGTCCAAAAGTCTGCGCGAGACGGGCGAACCAAAAAAAAAACGAATGGCGGCCAAAGGGCTTGAAGGGGTAGACCATGTCGATCACGCCTGCGGACTGCTCGGAAAAAAAGCGGGCTGTCATCCCCCCCTACCTTTCTGGGGAGCGTGGGGAGTCGGGGCCCAATGCCATTTTTCGAGCCTTCCCCACAAAAGGGAAAATGGGTTAATACCATCGGAGAATCCCCCATGGAAGGCTGAGAACTCCCTTCGAACAGCCGGGTGCCAAAGGAATGCACAAGCAAACAACTCCCTTCGTGGCTGCCTTTCGTTTTGGACAGAACTGTTCCCCCCCCCCCCCCGCGACATGGAGACGGACCCGGTGTCCAACGCCCCGAAAGTTGGGGGAAAAAGCGCGCAAGTGCACTTGCGAATATTTCTTGGTAAGAGCGGGAGCTGGCGTAGGAAACCCGTGGAAACCACTGTGCATGCGACGGGGGTTCTGCTCCGCAGCAGGTTTGAAGGCGTCGTCACCACCACTACAAAAATGATGACACAACAAGGCGTGCGAAAGTGCCCTTCGACTGGACGGTGGTGGCACTGTCAGTGATCACGCATTGGGAGTGCATGGGTCATCACTTGTTCTGAGATGATTCTAAATGCAGCTTGTTTTGCCGCATGAAATGCGTCACGACCAAAAAACACTTTCATCAATCAGCTCGAATGCTTGAAGCCACGTCAGTCCCTGTGAGATTCGGCATATCTCACTTGAGGACATGGACATGAATATCCTGTTGCAACCTTGACGCACCAAACCAGGGCAACCGAAGGTAAAGAGCCCGATTTGCTTTGGGCCGATGTTGGATGCTGAAGGAAAGCAAAGCCCGAGCTTGGTTTGAACTGCCTCACTGAGTGGATGGCCCAAAGAAAGTATCCAAACTTGTCCTAAATTTAAATCTAATACTAAAGCGGTCTGAATCCCAAGAAGTGAGCAAAAGTCCATGAACTCAAAAATTAAAATCTTCGGTACTCAAAAAGCAACATGTTCCCCTTGGGTCAGCATCCCTCCAACTTGTGGTGTGGATTTGTGGTTTGGTGGTTGCGGAGGGGTTTCTTCTATTATACCCTGGGATTACACCCCTTGGGAAATAGCCCAAAATGGTCCAAAATAACATGATCTCATCCCGGAAATATGCCTAAATGGGGTCATTTCCCAGTGGGCGTACTCGGGCGTAATACAAAAAAACCCTTAGGGGGTTGGACTCCCCGACTTTTTTGAGGCGAAGTTCCGTCGCGGATTCCCCAGCACTCCCCCGAGGCTTCGGCTATTGCGCACATCGTAGATCTCGCAGAGCAGCTCCTGCGGAGATCTCAACATGCAGCAGCCAAGCAAACTGCTCTGATTGCATGAAAAGGAGCATCTACACACATGTCTATATATATATATGCATTCATACATTCATACATACACACCTACATGTATGATTATAACATGTAGGCCTACATGTATGATTATAACAAATATGTTCCTACACATATATATATATACATATAGATAGATATTGCCATATGTAAACATAACTTGTAGCAGAGAGAATCCCCCAGCCAGGCACCATCATTTTTTCGTCATGCATAACCCATGTAACGGCATCTGCGCGCGGGAAAACAACTGTTGGATGGACGTTTGACAGCCTGCACCACATAAGAAATCCAACGGAATGGTTCGATTCCACTCTAAATGCCAACCAACACAACCAACAATGGCTTCGCATGGATTCAAGGTGGCCCGAAACGGCTTTCGCAACCATCCACAGCAGGGGTAACCCGATTTACATCGGAGTCTGAAATCAAGGCTGACCCCAAAAACCCGATGGATCCTCGGTCCGGATCTTCTGCGCCGGCGATTCGCCGTTGAGGCTAAACTTCTCGCCCAAGTAGGTGAGGATGGCGTTCCTGGGCCGGTGCTTCACTGGTTCCATGAAAATCACATCCTCAGATTTGTCCTCATGGTTTGAAGGGAAACCTGACTAAGCTCTTTAATTTTGAGAACCACTCAAAATGTCACTTTCACGATGTTGGTAGCCAGATTGCTTGTTTTGGTGCGCACATACCCGGTTGAGGGAACCCCACATTGCAACTACATGAAAACCGGGCACGGGGGGAGTCCCTAGTTCTCCCCTATCACATATGCAAAGTTCCACATTTGCCAACTCAAGAAAAAAAGCGAGTCCCTAGTTCTCCCCTATCACATATGCAAATCAAGAATAAAACGAAAGAAGACTTGTTCAAGAACACGGCCTCCGAGTGCCAATGGAAACAGATGCTGGGCATCTGGGCTCCTGAGCTGAGTTGCGGGGGATTCAAGCCCCAATCCTTCGCAGAAGGCGCCAAAGAAAGCCACTCAACCTGAGTTGGGAGAACCCGGTTGAAAGAAGGACACCATACGGAAACCCAAAGGTCATTTCGGGTCGATTCGCTTTGGCCAGAGCAGAAAACCGAACAAGCGGGATGGTGGGAACCCTCTTTCCCACCCAACCCTGTTTCCCACCCAGCTGGGACCACCCATTTCCCAGCCAGCCGGCCGATGACCAGTCCGCTCTCTCGCGCAAACCGTGGCTCGTCTGGCACACGCAGCTCTCGCCGTCCACGAGGTAGGGCAGGTTCGCCAAGGGGTTCATCGCCTGGATCTGGGGCTTCCGAAGCTTGAACCAGCTCTCGCCTCAGCAGCGGGGCCCAAAATTTTGGGGCAAGCCCTGGTCAATGGAATCATGGGGGCTGGGGGGGAGGGAGGGGGGGGGGGCCCAAATAAGCCCTAAATAAGGCCTTATTAAGGGCTTATTTAGGGCTTATTTGGGCCCCCTCCCCTCCCTCCCTCCCCCCCAGCCCCCATGATGGAAACTTGCGGACGAACCACCTGCGGTTCATATTGGACCGACCCCCCCAACTGCAACTCAAGTGGTTTGGAACCCGTTTCCAAAAAGAGCCGCCAAATGTGGGCTTCCAAGCTCTATGCCAATTTCCGAGCGGCTGATCTAGTCATCTGTGGCCACCCTGTGGTTTGGTCATACGGGCCGGAGCAACTGCAAAAAGCCAAGGTAAAAACAATTCAACGGGTTGGGCTGGGGAGACTGGATGCCCTGAAAACACGGAGCCCTCGTAAAGCAGGGGCTCCCTAAACAGGGGGATTGGGTCTTCCGACTCCAAGCCAGATGCCACACTGCAAGGTAGGCGAGAAGCGGGAAAAAAACCTGGTTTCTGTTGACCCCCCTGCAAAAAGTGAAAACAATTTGGTGGTTGAGTGGAAAACACCTTTATTTCCAAAAAGTTAACGTCCAAGATCCGTTGCCCAATAGCAGTCAAGAAAGGAGCCCCACAAAACACCGGACGAAACACTCTTCTTCCAAGGTCTTTGCCTCAATTCCCTGGAACCAGCACCAGCAAGTGGCGCTTCAATCTGTAAGCTACCCTCCCACCGTGCATGGAACCCTTCGATCGGGGCCTCCTGGTTTGGACGACCGGGTCCCGGACGTCCTGTTCCATGTTTGGTGCGAGAGTACTGTCAGATGGTAGTGCTTGTTCTTGTGCGCGTCTTGCATGACCGAAAAAAATTAAGTTACGGCAACATCAAGCAGTCTAAAACACGACATCCACTTGGAGACCAGGCAGAGTCGAGGTCTCGACATGTCTCGACTGAGCTCCACGCCGTCGGCGTATTGCTTGTCTTCGTACTTCGCCTCTTTGTACTCCAAAATCATGCGGAACACCTCGTGGTAGCAAGATATTACTCAGTTGCCCAAAGGACCCAGAAATACAAGGTTAACCTTTTGGGGCCATAACTAAAAATGGGATTCCAAAAAGGGGAAACCAAAAGGTCAAAAGGTTGGCTTTGGGCAAGTGAGATTATGAATATCCCACAGGGCACCCATCCTTCGATGTGAGATGCCGGGGGGGGGGGGGGGATATCCCATAGCCGGGCCGCAGTATTCTACCATGATAGTCAACCCCTTAGTGGCAGGTTTGAGGGGAAACAACCTCAGTTGCTGACTTTGATAACCCTCAGAAAACGTTAAAATAATGACCCCCACACAGTGTACCTATCCGTCGATGTGAGATGGGGGGGGTGCGAGGGGGTGCAATCTCGTGTTTGCCTTTGGATGGAATCGGTTTTGGGCTGGTTTTAAGACGGAAGGGCAACCAACAAGAACTATGAGTGGGCGGAGCAGGCTCCCAAACTCCATTTTAGCCCTCCAAGCCTGTAAAGTTTGCCCCAATCCAAAATGGTCAGTTCATCTCCGTCACCCTTAAGCAATCAAGTATTTTGACAATGCACACCTAGGTCCTCCAGATTTGAGAGGTTAGAATAAGGGCACCCTTTTGTCGGTGGACTATTTTAGTAGGGGCTTGCCCTCGACCCTTGGAAAACAGATCGGAGGGTTTTGGACAGCTTTCCTTTTGGGGAAGCCCCCCAAAAACACTTCCATGATTCTTGGAGAGAGGGCAATCTGCAAATTCCGCAAGACTGGCCTGATTCTTTTTTTTGGCTTATTAAAAGTAGAGGACCTTCATCCTTTGACCCCTGTCGCCATGAAACATATGCCCGCGGCATACTCCCCACCATGCTGAGGATTGGAGTCTCCTTTTGGGGACCCCCTTTTTTTGGGGATCCTTCCGTGGATTTGCCGGAAAGCAAGGGAAAGTAGAAAATCTACGTTAACACCCTGGTAGCCTCTTCTCCAAATTGCTTTGGGGTTCCTGTTGTGAAACTGCAAAAAAAAAGACCTACTCTTAGCACGGCCCCGGGTGTGGCGAGTGCTTTGGTTTGCTTTTTTCTGGGGTCATCAGTCCAAGGTGCGGCCCCGAGACCGCGGATCTGCCAGTACCCGAGCTCCATGGTGCCTGGGGTCCCCGCCTCAGCCGCATTACCTTAAGGGGAAGGGGGGTGGGGGGGCCCCAATTCCTTACGTCCTGAGTTCATGGCCCAAAAGAAGCCTGAGCTTTTTGTTTACCACTAAACTGGTCTTTCAAAAAAGTTTAAAATCCACGAACGCAGGAAGTGAGATTCCATTTACTTAGTCTTGCCCATAAAAGGGAAAATGGGTTGCCACAAATGGAGATCAGGGGTCGAAATCCCCCCTCCCCAAATTCAAAATTTTTGAGGGGGTGGGGGTGCCGCAGGGCGACTCAAACCTACTCGGCCGGCACCGCGGAAGTCGGGGCATCTCCTGGCTCGCCCCCCGCAGCCTGGCGCTAAAGGAACAGGTTGATGGCCTCTTGTGCTAAAACACTTTTTCAAGAACGTGACTTAGGACTTGTTCCTAAAAATCTTTAAACAACAAATGAACGGTGATAAGAAGTTGGCTGCACTGGTGCTTGGAGTGGAGTTTGCAACCATCCACAGAACTTCTGCTGGCCAAATCACGTAGCCCGACATCGAGCTTCAGGCGCGACAGAGTGGCAAAGCTGGAGCCGACAAGGCTGCTGGCTTTGGAAGGGTTACATCACCGGCTCTCTTCGAAGTTGCCTGGGTTGCATATGCTCCCCAACGTGATGTCCAAGACACTTCAAAATGGAATAAGAGCCCATGCCCTGATTGAGGGACAGTAAATGCCTGGTTTCACCATCAGCCAGGCATGTCTGTGAAGCCAAGCGGGCGTCGACGGACATGGGGGATCATACATGCTTCTTTGTGAATTAGGTAAACTGTAATCTTGTCGTTGGCCACCAATAAACTTTCATGGGCGTTTGTCCCAACAGGAGACCCCCAAAATGATGGGTGCCTGATAGTTCCCTTTAAATCAGCCGACCCCAAAAATCTCAGGTCCTCCAGTAGAGAGGTTTGAATAAGGGTACCCTTTTTCTGTAGTCTATTTTAGTAGGGGAACCCTCCCCCAAAAAAGGGCACTACTGGGGGACCTAGAAAAGGTTCCCATAAGACACCCCACACACACACACACAAACCAGTATTCCCGAGCAGTTTCAAGTCCGAAAACCTTCAGAAGTGAGTCAATCTCAAGGCAGCGCTCTTGGCACTGCAGATCCTTTATGAGGGTAAGTAAGTGGGTGACTAAACCCACTTTGGGGAATCATTGCCATATTTCACTGAATCACCAACTGTATGCCTGCACATGCCACCATGCAAAGGAACATCTAGAGGCTTAATGACCACGATTCGCCGAAGGTTGCCCACGGAATCAGTGCCGAACTGCAGCACGCAGCCGAAGGTTGCCGGAAATTTGAATCAGGAGCCATCGGAAACCCCGCGCCTGAGAAGGCATAGTTATTGATCTTCCGCTCAATGTCTTCAGGTGTGTCCGTCAGGAAGATGGCCTAAGGATGTGACGAATAAGGACTGGATGCCGCAAGAGACTTCACGCTATCCCTGCACTAGGTAGTAAAGCGGGTGTTTGCAAACAGCGAAACAGGTGCCCAACGCGACATGCAAATATGGAGTTTCAAAGTCAGCACTGTTCGTCATAAGTAAGCGCTTTTGAGGACAAACGGCACTCTTGTGAAACAAACTTCCATTTGCTTAAGCCCCCTGAAAAGAAATAAAGAAAGAAACAAAAACAAACAACCACACTTCCAGTGATAGATCCCTTTACAACCAACATGGGGAAAAAAAAAAAACACAAACATATTGTTCAAGCAAATGTAAGAAAACACCACAACACATACACTTGGTAAAAAAGGGGAAACATGAACAACAAAAAGAAGAAAAAACACGTGAGGCAAGGCTCCGAGTTGGTGTCAGAGGCAGACATCTTGCTGTCGGCGCCGGTGAGGGGCGGGAAGAACTTGCAGTGGACCAAGGAAGGCTTGCCCTTCAAGGGGTGGTCCTTCCTCGGTATCGGATCGACAGGGAAAAGAGCCTGAAACAAATTCGTGAGGTTCCAAGACCCATGGTTTTTCTATCGAGCTCATTGGGCTGGTCAAATTGTCAAGGGCCATCATATTTGCAGAAGGACGTACATGTTTGGGGGACAAATCGTAGATTCCTCTAAGAAAAACGCAGGCCTCAGTGTCCCACACTCCATTTTAAGGTCATGCCTTCGATTGGCATTTGCGTTTTGGAGTGCTCCCCGGAAGATGGGCATGAAGTGTCCAAAGCGAAGCCGGGCTTGTGGATTTGCACGGAACCTGCGGTATGAACCCCCGCATGGGTGAAATCTCAAGACTATTGATGGCTCAATTCTGGAAAGCAGCGCAAGCTACCCAGCTCATGCTTCCCAAAAAGCAACCTACAAGGACCCCATACCCACCCCTTCGCTCCTGATTTATGACAACCATCAGCGCACGGCACTTTGCTCAACTGGCCGGCAGCTTAGACATAAAGGGGTGGGCATGACCCTTTTACAATGGGTCAATGACCCCATCATTTTGGGTAATGACCCATTTTTTTAGGGTCATGGAGACTCCAGGTACGGGCAAGGGTCTGTTTAGTCCAGCATCACCCCTTCCATTCCTGACGGGATGGGTTCTCCCACCCTCCTACATAGCGCCTCGGCCTGCCTAATGTCGGCCCAGCTGCGGTACCAGCTTGTGCGCAATGTCGCGGGTGACCTGCGGTGGGGAGAGCTGCTACGAAGGCATCTCTCTCGGTTGCTTTCTGCTCCCCTGCTAAAAGTTTAACTTTTAGTGGTTTGATGGAAAACCCATGAGTTGGCAAAAAGTTAAAGTCCTAGCAGCCAAGCAGAATGCACCAAAGGGCAGCTCATGCAAGGGGCTAAACAATTCGAGCAGGGACATTTCTCTCATGACGGGAACGAACATGCGAATAATTCAGTGCTGTGAAATGAGGAGCCAACTAACATGCGGCCATGGGGCATAACCCATGGCTCCATTTTGGGGTGGATGAACATCCACTTGCCACCTATTTTGATGTTCACCAGGGGTACAGGGTTTCGACCCACAGCCATGTGGTTTCCGGTTTCCTCTGCAACAACCGGGGAATGGATGCCCACGGAATTCCACGTCAAGAGCCAACGTGGCCGATTCCTTATCTGCCAAGTCACCCGGAAGTACGGGTCCTGGTCAATGGCGCACGGAATCCTGAGCACGTGGCTGTCCCCAGGCTGGGTACAAACGAGGTTCATGCGCATAAAACTCACGTCCAAAAGCTAGGGCAGATGTTGCTCATTTTTTCGCACAAGGCCCTGGCCATTGTTCAGGGACTCCCCAGCCGGCGTGCTATGTACATTTAAGTAGCGCATTGGAACACAAGTGGCACCAACTTCCGCGAACATGGTCCAGGAAGCGAAGTGGCTTGAGAAGGATCTGTCTGCAGCCGCACGTCAGGTGCGAAGTAAGGACATGTTGACGCATCCATCTTGCAAATCGTTTGACTTCCAAGATGTTGACAGCTAGTTTCCGTAGTTTGGCCTGCGACATGGATTGCTGTCCTCTAGTGTTGCCACTGGGCTGAACCACTAAGCGGTCATACATTGAAAACGGGTTTTGAGTGGGTTGATGCCTCACGCCTTTTGCAATCTTTTGACTTGGCCATACTTAACTTACACGCCCTGCAAAAACTTGGCTGCCTGCCTTCCCAGGGAAGATGTTAGGAACCCAAAAAAAGGCAAAAGAGCTAAGGCGTATCTGTCCCTCAGCCCTGCGCCAGGCATCAAACAGGGCAAGTGCTGATTGCCCTCGAAGGGTATGCTGAAGGAGGAGGAGAAGGACGGAACCGCCTCAGTCGGCCCGGCCAAGGCTCGCCCGCTCGCCCGCGCCGCATCGCGCCGCAGCAACCCCGGCCAAGCCCGGGCTGCATGTTGAACAAATAATTCCCAGAACAGTGCAGTGAATGGTCCTCCCATGTGGAGGACCTTTTGATCAACCCCCAGTTTGAACAAAGGGAACAGGTTGGGGGATTCTCATAACTTCCTGGGAAGACATGAACCCCGGGAATCCCAGTCATGTCAAGAAAGGATGACATGATAGAATCCTGTGCACCCGGAAAAAGGACTGCTTCAACAATACCACACTCCTGCCATCCTGTTTTCTCTTGCCCGCATGCGTGCAGCCGGCCTTTGTTTGATTCACGTTGCTGATCCAAAAACAACCTCGCGCTATCCAGATTTGCTGGAGGTAGCTTCTGCTAGTTCTACAATCGCATTGCCAGTTTCTAAACTAGTGCCTCACTGCGGACAACTTCCCAAACTACCCCTCAGTTGCCCAAAGGACCTGCAACTAAAAGGTTAACCTTTTGGGGCCATGACTAAATATGGACCAAAACGGAAAAACCAAGAGGTCAAAAGGTCGGCTTTGAACAACTGAGAACCATGCTCGCATGATTTTCGTGTCTTTTTTGTGGCTTTTCGGGAAGTATGAAAATTTGTGCTGTCCGTGTCTCTCACCAAAAAATGGGCCTCGGGACCCCCGGGAGTTGATCGTGTCGTGTCTTAGTTTCACCGGGCCCCACCAAGGGGGGGGGTTTGCCAAAGGTCCTGCGTTTGATGGTCGCAAAGGGAAGGCTGGCAGCGCAAATGAAAATCAAGTACCCTCACACTCACACACGTTTGGCGCATAAGCCCTTTTGAAAGACGACTCTCCTCTGATAGGGCTTCCCACTTCCATGTGAGGGAGGCCTCGCCTTGCTCAATCAACCACTCTAAGGGATTCTTCCCCGTTCTGCTCACCCATCGGACCTATCCGTTATTTTCGATAATCTCATTTTTTCCGGGTTCGGGAAATTGTCTGAAGGGTCCTTGAAGAGAATGGGGAGGGGTGCCGCTAGAACGAAGAGACCCAGTCTTCGCTCCCAAGGGGATCGCCCGAATCGCGCCTGGATGGCAGGAAAGGCGGACTGCCCGATGTTGGACTCCCCCACAAAGCCGAAGGCCTTGCTTCAGGCAGATTCCACCGGGGGAACACCCAATTCTTCACTTCTGGTTAAACGGTCTGCCAAATGTGTTCTCTCTTGTTAACATGCATGAGGATGCTGAGGCCTCATCGTGTTCCCAAACCAGCTGGTAAAAAAAAAAAAAAACTCAATTACGCCAATGTGGCTTTGTGGGATGCTAAAATGAAGAAGGGTGTTCCTTGCATGTCTTCGCCCGGGGTTACATGTCAAAACTCCCTCCTGTCCCTCCAATTGTACGCAGGGCCAGTGGCACTGAGTTGGCAGGGAAGACAGTAGGGCATTAAGCTTAAATGCGATGGAGCAGTCAGTCCCTTCGCCGACCTGAAGGGCAGACAGGCGAAATGCCCCGACTTGGACTCGGCATTTCTGCAATGACACGCATGCAGTGAAACCAAAGGCGCACAAAGTAACTTGGATGGCCTTTGGCATCGGTTTCAACAGTCATGGCGCTCAAAGGGTTCTGGAGCCTTGTGACAGGCTTGAGGTTCACAAGAGTTGGACCGGAACGTGTATAGCATGTATAGCAGTTCTTGGTGAAGTTTTCGCAATTCCAGTTGGCCGGTAAGGACCCAGAAATAAAGCTGAAGCTTTGGATCCTCTTTTTAGGGCCATAAAAATGGGCATTCACCACAGAAAGCAAGCCAAAAAGGGAAAGCAGTTGACCCTTAGAGATCCAGAAATAACAGGTGAAGTGTCTGGATCCTTTTAGGGCCATAAGAATGGACAGTCGTCACCTCAGAAAGCGGGCCAAAAACACCATGTTCAACCACAACCATGGGGAAATCGCAGCTGAAAGAACCAGAAGCCAGGAAGCTGATCTGGCCGTGTTGTAGGTGATCGCCTTCCATACGCGGACGATGTTCGGATACATGTGTCCAACCTGGGTCGGGTCATCCCAGCCGAATGTGAACACTTAAACATGGCTTTCCTTGTCGCGTGAAGCCAAAGAAAGAGGGCTGCAAGTATATCCCAACCCCCGACTCCCCGACCTTGACAAAACGTGGTCTCTTCAGCTTCATCCGATTGTGTCCTACACCCATCAGACTGCGGATCCGAAAGCCTCCGGATCCCCGATCCCAGATCCCAGGACTGGGTGCCAAAACAGGGAGCAGATTCCAACGCCTTTGAATGCCTAACTGGAAATCAGGCGATGGCGGTATAGGGCTCCAAATCTCCACTGGCTCGAAAGCAAAAACAAGGAGGGTACAATTTTCTTGGTAGTTGATGTTTGAGGGAAGCCACTTCAAAAATAGGAAGCTGGATTTCAGTGTAATTACCTTACAGCCAGGCAGCCAAGCCTAGAACTGGGCGACTGAATCGAGATGACTAGCCTTGTCTAGTGGCAGCGTGTCAGCCTTAGTGTGGACTCAAATGGCTGGTTCTTATGTCAGTGAAGCATGGTCCTAGCCATTTCTAGCACTTCCGGTCGGGATTCTTTCCTTCAGAAGTCTCATTCTGTTCGGCATCTGCTTGCGGCTTCTCAACAGCAACGATGGGCCGAAAATCGAAACAATTGGCTCGGATCCACCTTGGGAATCAAATAAGTCCTGCCGGCCTTCCCACTGACTCGGTGAAGCATTAGGATGTCTGGCGTCACATCCCAGAAATTAGCCATCCCCAGCAGCCCTTCCCCCCCCTGTCAACAAATTTGAACAGCGCTCGAAGCCCCAAACCCCTTGACTGTTGGCTCTATCAATCAATCGCTGATCCTAGAGGTCCATTTTTAAACCTAACCCGCGGACCCTTTAGGTGCTGATTTCCCTGCATTAAGCCGTAACTAACGGCTAAGTAATCCATAAACTAGGAGTTCATACTTAAGACCGAAATCCAACTCTAGACAAAAGCCCATACTGCTTGTAGCACAACTTCTCCCCCCCGCCGCCCCCGCCAAAAACAAACCCGGCTCACTCACTGTGTTTTTTTCCCGCAGGACTCCAGCTCACTCACTTGCCCAAAGGATCTCGAAAATAAAAGTTCACCTTTCAAAACCTGACAAGAGAGACCAAAACCGGAAAAAGCACGCAAGGTGATTCCAGGTCGATTCGCCAGGGGCATGCATTTTTCTTTCCAAGGAACGTACTCGCAGTCGGAGAAGATGAAGGTCTTGCTCTTGTCGAAGCCGCAGGCGATGATGTCCTTTGCGTTCTCAATGGTGAATTGCCGATACATGGACCTCGGGCCCAGCGTTCGCGGTGCGCCTTAAGGGAAACCACAAGGGATGGTTTATATAGGGGTTGCTCCCTCATTCCCTGCCTATCGCACCAGCAAGCAAAGGTTTGAGGTCAAACAAGGTCAAACAAAGGGCCAAATGCCCCAGAAACAAATGCAGCGGGCTCCGGATCGAGCATAGGCTGCAGAATGCAGGGTGTCAAGCCAAGCAACCCAATGCAAAGTCGCAACGACACATGAATAGAGTCTGGGAAATTGATCTGGCACACCTGCCTTGCAAACAGTGTAAACACAGTTTGCATTGCGTCACCCTGTCAAGCACACCTAGCAGTGTGATTTTATCGGTGCATATGTATATATGTGTATAAGCTTCTTGATTTGCACGAAAGCAAAATTCATGAGCAAACATCACGCTACACCTGCCAGATCCCACATACACCATCGCGCTGACACAATCGTGGCAACAACCCTCTTAGGGCCAAAGAATACTTGCCTTGCCAAGTTGCTTCTGGGTTTTACCGCGGTTAAAACCGTCGTATCCTTCTGTCAGGGCCATACGTGTGATACGAAAAAAATATACTCAGCACCTGGTGGAACCGGATAGGGCGCCCACCTCCAAGCGTCTCTGCTGACAGATGGGGCATCCCAAAAGCATGGCACCTGACAAAGGGTTTAACTTCCAGCTGCCCTCCCACAAATGCCATCTTAGTGGGAGAAACCGCAATTGCCGTGCTCCAGCTAGAAGAAGCACCCAGGCAGGCATCAGCAAAAAGCCAGGCCCATATCCGCCAAGCCCTTAAGCAATCAAGGAGCAGGTTGTCTCCCGTCTCCGGGTCGTACTCGCCCTCGGCCACTTGCCAAGCTCAGCCGATCCACAACAAGAACCTCCCCCCCCTCCAACCGACCTTCCAAACCGACCTTAACTCACCAGTGGCAAAGTGACATCTCTTGCCTTCAGTTTCTGGTGTCCGGGAAAAAGTGTCTAGTGGCCGAGAAGAAACACATAACGGTTTCCGGGCAAGGCATTCCTGTCCGAAGGGTTGGAAGCACGGCGCCGGCCTTCCAGAGGAACTTCTCATCATCCGTCATCTGAACCACCAGCGGCACATCAAAGGCCTTCTGCAGCCACCTCAACTGGACAAACAGCGCAGGAGCATGACGGCTTATGGCGGGAAGCCAACGACCTCAAAATCCTCACTGCCAGACAAAAGCAAGCAAGCATCATCCACTCCCGGCACGAAGCTTGCATGTGTCTGATATAGTTGGTTAGAACTTGGAAGTCTTCAGTGGCAAGGAGGGTCTCTGCTTCCTGTGCATTCTTTGCCTACCCGGGGCCATCCCTCACTCAAAGAGCCCATGGGCTTTCAAGGGCTCTTTCTACTTGTAAGGTCCGACACGAAACCAAAATGGGCTGCAACATCAAGCAGACCATTGAAGGATTCACATCGAAATCCATGCCTTGCTGGGCTTGAAAAGAGGGAGCCCTGGCACCGGCATGGAACAACCCAAGGCTCAAAGCCTGCATCCCTCAAGAGTCTTGACCCCCGGCAGCCAAGCATTCAGTCGCAAGGCCTCCGGAAAATGAGTCGCGAGGCGCTTGGGATTCCGCTGGCAGTTCGAGCCAGGCCGCTGGGTGAAGAGGAAGGGCAGCAAGTGGCCCAGATGCATCGCCTCAGCTACTGCGCCAATGCCAAAAAAAAAACCGCGCCGTAGCCCCTCCAGCGAAATAAATCGAGCGAGGAGCTGCGGAGCTGGGGCCACGCCCGGTGTAGAGGTAGAAAGGCTTCCCCTTCTCCTGGCAACTGAGTCACTGCCCAAGGTATGGGGGAACCTTGGGATACCAAACGGCTTGGGCTTGGGCCCCATGGGCTTTTTTGCATGGAGAGTTTAAATTTAAATGGAAGGAACTCAGTGAGATCCAAGGGAGCCTTGCCAGGCAGAACACGAAGGGCTTGCAGCCAAAGCAGACTGGACAGTTGATTCGGCGCCGACGCCAACTTCAGCAAGAGATGGAATCATCCAAAATGACAAACCCTGGAACTCCTCAAACACACCTCCAGTTGTGATTGACGCTTCTTTTCCTCAAATCTGGGTAATTGCTTAGATCGGCTCCTGCAGGCTGCAAATGGCATCCAGCTCGCGGTGGGAGAAGAAGATGTTGCGACGCCTCAAAACGACCGACCGCACGGCAGTGTCCTTGCCTACCAGTTTTCTCTGCCGCGGGAACGAGCAAACAAAACAGAGCCTTTTCTTGTTGGGTACCCTGCAAGAACTTGGTATGGAACCCAAACATCGGGCACAAAAGGAAGCTCTTTGGGTTCCTCGGTGTGACGTTAACAGGTGACTTCACAGAAAGGGATCTTTTTGGACAGGACGGGCAGCATCCCCCATATGCGACAGCCAGCACATCACAAATCCTTGCTCCTTGCTTCTGGGAATCCAGTCTACACTGCTGCCCTTTGTTTGTTGTCTGTCTAAAAGCGGGTCAAACAGGAAACCCATGTTGCATCATATTGCCAAGTTGAAACGCCGCCCCGAAACAAGCAACGCCTCGTGGAAAGACAAATGGCTCCGCGCAAAGCTCTTTGAAGACACACCCTTCAAGCCATCGTTGCTCCAGCTGGCGATTGTTTTCCTAGGGAAGGCCTAAGCCGACGCCCCAATGACCAACACCTGGCCCAAGGGGCCACGTTTTGGGTGAACTCATTACCGATGCTTGGCCACGAAAAATAGAGAACACCAATGACACCAACGCCTATGATTCACGGACAGTAGTGTTGCCCCAAGAGGACTTGGGAATTCGGCCTTTCCTCCAGCGCATATTTGCATGTAAAATCGTACCTGTGCAAAAACAAAAACGTGCATATATATATATATATATATACGTAGGTGTGTCTGTGTGTTGGCGCGTTGTGCTTGTACGGTTGTGTGCTTGCGTACTTCTTTTTGTGTTCAGGGTGCCCTGTCCGGGGTTGGCTTAGAAAAGGGTTCAAGTGAAGAGAAAGGAAAGCCGCCATTCTCTTGCTGGTTCGATAGGCAGGGAATGAGTTGGAATGACCCCAAGAAGACCCATCCCCGATTTAGTGTCCTTTCTTCGGGAAGCCCGAAACGGTTCATCCCCAAACCCCGTCTCAATCATGGGGTTCCCAAAAAGAGGATGAAAGAACGCATTGCAGCTTCTACCACGCATTCGTCTGGATACAGGTCCCAGCGGCAGCCAGCAGTGTAGCTCAGGCACACGACCTGCGAAGCTGAATCTGGGGATTCCCCCCCCCCATGCGGCCGAAAACAAATAGAAGGTTCGGGGGTTGTGTTGTCTTACACTCGCTTCCTGAGTTGATTGGCCAAACAAAGTCCAAACTTTTTGTTTACCACCAAAATAAAGTTTAAAGTCCATGAACTCAGGGAGTGAGTACAGTAGGCCTGGCAAAAAAAGGAGAATGCTGGTACCCAAAGGAAACCTCTCAGCCCGTAAGTGTTCTTGCTTGTCGTGAAATTCGAGTACCCTGGTGGGTGTGTTCATTTAGGTTCCCCGCACATCCAACATGGGCGCCCGGCTTAGGGCTCAGACCGGTTCCAACCAGGCTCCCAGCAGAACCGCCAAGTTAGGGTCCACAACCACCACCGCCCCCAAAGTTCCTTGCCCAAACCATGGCAAAACAGGGCACGTCTCGTGCATTTTCTGTGAGCCTCCAGACACGGGATGACAGGGTCGCCTTCCATCGGAGGAACCCGGCAGGAAGGCGTCCCAAAAGCATGACTTTTTGGCCGCCTTAGGCCACCCTATGGAACTGAAGAACTGAAGGGGGCATTTCATTCTTTGGCGTCATAACCTATGCCGATCCCATGGGGCGGATGAACACCCATCCGCCCCACCGATTTTGATGTCCACCAGGAATTTCCAGAGTTTTGACCCACGGCCATGTCCGTTTCCGCTAAAAGTGACAGCTTCCCAGCCCTCAAAAAGTTCAAAGCGGAAGGAAGAAGTACCCTCTCTCCAGGTGCCCCACAAGGTGCCATGGCAACGGAGGAAGGCCCGGCGATTTACGTAGCTAAGTAGAAAGGTGATGGAGAAGAGAAGGAATGGATGAAGGAAGGGTTGTCCTTTCATTTTTAATCCCATGACAGTAGAGAAAAGGGCAAGGATTGGTGGAACCCTTTTTGATTTCAAAGGCAGCCCTAAAGGAAACCTCAATTCGTGCTTCAATTCGTGCTGGTCCCTTAAAAGAGGTGCTCTCCTGCGAAACAGTTGGGAACATCTTCCCCCACGCTGTTGAACCAGAAAAATGGTGCGTCCCAAAACCCAATGAGGTCCCTCAATGACCCCCCCCTCCCCCCCAAACACAAGGAGGCCCCTCCCCCCCCCCTCCCCCCTTCCTTCCGCGCTTTTTTTGGGGGCGATTTTTTCGCGAATTTGTGTGGCCTGATCCCACCGTCAGCTGGCGTATCCGCTCCAGCAGCTCCGCGGAGATCCTGGTGGACCCAAAATCCCGGATCAGCTTGTCGTAGTCGATCTTGCCTGACTCCCCACGCTCCCGGCAGCTCAGAAGTTGGCTTCCATTTGCTTAAGGCCCCAGGAAACAACTGTCCAGTAGTGATGAACTCCGTTCAAAGCCAGCAAGTTTTTTTCTTAAGCAAATGACGCTCCTGGCAGCTCAGAAGTTGGCGGTTCAGCTACTCTCCTGCCAGGTGGTTTGTCCCATGTACCCTCTAGAACCAGGGCTGGTTTGAGTGGTAATTTATATTTCAGTTGGCTTCCATTTGGAGGCCCCAGGGAAAAAATGTCCAGTAGTGATGAACTCCTTTTAAAACCAACAAGGGAAACAAATGTTCTGAAGCAAATGGAGGTTGGCAGTTCAGGTAGCTTCCTCCCAGTTGGCGGCTTGGATTGGTGGCTTATTTCAGAAGTGGTGTCCCATCTACCCGCAAGAACCAGGGCTTCAAATCCACCAATCCCAACCACTAGTTCAGGGTTGCCTCAGTTCAGGTACCCTCCCACATGGCATTGTGCACAAACCGGGTCCCTTTCCAGGAACCTTTTTTTTTCCCGCAAAAAATCAAGTGCACTTCCACGGAATCGTCGCTGGGAGGGCTGCCAGGTATGGGTTTCGGATGGACTGGATCAAGGCTATTATAGATGCCACCAATATTCGCCTGCAAATCAGTATGTACGACATATTAGCTATACACACACAAATATAAATATATATATATATATATGTACATATACTGCTAAAAAGCAAAAGGCAGGTGCGGGTATCTTCCATTCCGGCATGTTGCGCCTTCATCTCGTTTCCCCGGGTGTTTTTGTCTCATTGTTTTTGCCCCAGGCCCCTTCGGCACCGAAAAGCTCTCGGCCCCCAGGCCTTTGACAGACCAGGGGTCCACCACCATCTCGCCCTTGTCCTCCTGGAAAGTATGGAGCTGGTGAAACCAGAAAACATCTTCAGGCCTCACTCCCTGAGTGGGTTGGCAAAAGACAAGTTGTCTGAACTTTTTCGGTCCACCAAAATGGCCCAAACCCAAGCGATTCAAGTCCATGAACTCAGGAAGTGAGATTCCAACTTGCTGCAGTCCCCTTGCCGTGAGTGGACCAAAAATGCCCGAGTACCTGGACCACCTGTCGACTGCATGGGCTGAGCGGCTTTATGAAGAGTGCCATGCTGAAATCTCTCTGGGGCGTGCAGTTGCTATGGCGCAGCTTCCGTCTGATTGGTGGTTTGGATTGGTGGTTTGGATTGGCGGTTCGGGGGTTCTCCATTTACCCTCTACCAGAACCAGGGGTTTAAATCCCAAACCAATTCGGTGTTACCTGAATGGCAGGCCAGCCCAACTGGTCAAAAGTAAGATGCATAGGAACACGTGTCATGGACCTGCGTATGTGGCTGATTACAGGGTCTCACTGCCCTGGTCGGCCTGAAGAACACTTAGACCTCACCTCACAGTTGCAGCTCGAAGTTGAGCTAAGCGACAAGGCCACAACTGAAACAAATGGCAAACGAAATCCAATCTGCAAGCCGGAAATGGCATTGATCAACCTGAGATTTCCCCCAAACTCGGCAGCTCAAGAACCTTGCGTGGACTGGAGGCCGTTTTAAGTTGATCTTGCACGGGAATAACCAGGGCCGATCACTGCCATCTGGCCCTGGCGTTGGGGGCTGCCGTGAAAAGACCTCGCTTACTTGCCCAATTGAACCACAGCAACAACCAGCGAGAAAACGAGAACCCTACGGTGGATGTCCAAAACAATGCCAGTAAATCAAGCACGAAAACCATGGTTATGGAGGGTGTCCAGCTTGTTCCCTACTTTTTCAGATTTAGGGCATCCAACACAAGAAATGGCGCTACAGCCAGACAAGTCCATGGCCTGAATTGACCGGCGCGAGAATCAATCAGGCCTTGGTCTCAGCTGCAGCTTTGGCAGCCTGAACTGGCTCCTGCAAGCTGCCGGCGATGGTTTTTTGCGCGGACCCTAGGTGTACATTTGGGGATAATTTGTGTGACCCCCTTTGGAAACCAAAAGGAATTCCCCCCCCTAGTGTCCCCCCATTTGAGGACAAACCCATTTGCAACCAAGAGTGTTTGAGGGTGTCTCCGGTATTTAGTCATTTCGAAAGCCTTCAATGTCACCTGCTTCACCTAGACCCCGTTGAGAAGCACCGACCGATACCGGACGCATTGCCAAAGGTCCTGAAATGGCTGCAGAGTTGCCGTGCGGGCCGAGTGTGCTTGAATAGGCGTGCATACCTTCGCCCTCCACTTCATCCAAACCCTACAGATCCAGCGGCCTGTACCATCAAGTGATTGTTTGGGATGCTCACTTTCTGAGTGGATTGCCAAAAGTCCAAACTTGATATCCACCCACCAAATAACATGGAACCTGACCCGAACTGGCTTGGACCATGTTCCTTGTCAAGGGACCCACTGGCAGGTTGCATGTTAACTGCTGGGAGGGTACCGCTCAAATGTTATCTTCCCCAAAAATACAAATACTGCTGGAAGTCAGGGAGCGAGTCGGCTTCAACAGACCTCCTTCGCCGCTTTGGCGCTTTGGCGCTTTGGTCGCTTCTGTCCTTCGACTCATCCGGTACATCCACTCCCACCACCGTGACGCCTGGGGTTGAACTGCCACTTGGGCAGCACGGAGGTTTATGTGCCAGAACCATTTTGCAGGGCTCCCAGTAGCAGAGTTAGAGGAGTAAGCGGGAAAAAAAAAAAAAAAAAACAGACTTCAGACACGCTGAAACTTCTGTTGCCCAAAGGACCTGCAACTGAAAGGTTAACCTTTTGGGGCCATGACTAAATATGGACCAAAACGGAAAAATCAAAAGGTCAAAAGGTCGGCTTTGAACAACTGAGACTTTCATTTGCAGCCCACCACATGCGAAGCAAGCGGCGCACGCTGTCGTCTGCCAAAGGCGTTGCCACATCCTCGCCGCCAATTCGAAGGGGCGCGTACCCTATTGGATGTTTCCCCAAGCTTGGTTGCGTTTTCCGTTTGGTTTCCCTTTGTAGAGCGAGTACGGGTAGCCTGTAAACAACATACACATGTTGCTGCAAAGGAAGTTCAATGGAATGAGGGTCGTGCTGGTTTTTTGCGGTTCAAATCCCTACGCCCTCCACAGCAAAGGCCCATGAGCCCGTCGACGTCCATTGGAAGACAAAAAGGGGCAGCTTGTTCTTGGGGACTCGCCAGGGAGCACAAATTGACAGCTTTGTTGTTGGTTGGTGGCAAGGAAAGCAAGCAAGCAACACGGGCACCGCAGGTTTGGGGAACTGCCTGCCCATGGCACAGACTGACTTGTTTTTACTGCCGATAAGTGACAAATCCCATGACAGCCTAGGGATGAGCTGCGTGGGGTCACAGCTTGGCTGGAATTAGGACCCAGCCAATTCAAAAAACTACGTGTTTTGCCTTAGTGGAGAACAAAGAACAAAAACATCAAAAAGGGAAGCTAATTCTGGTTGGAGAATCAGATTCTGGTTGGAAGTCCTGGGTTCGCTGCAGGAGGAAACGCAACACTCTCGGTTCCGCAAGTCGATTTCTATACCTGAAGCCTCCATGACCCTTAAACAATGCTTGGTCATTGACCCCATTTTGTAAGGGTCATAAAGGCTCCAGGTAGTCAATTCCGGTTGGAAGACAAGTCTTCAGACATCAAGGAAGCGCTGAGATCAACTTTTCTCAGTGGCCTTTTTGCTGCTTCCAGCTTGGACCTTCAAGCTAACTGGACAGAACCTGAAGGCCACTCCAAGGTTTTGCTTAAATTGTCGGGTTCAACCAAACTTTACACGGAACCGCACAGAAAGGGCCCTCAAGAGAGGCTTTCGACCATAGGTGGCCTTTTGGACAAATAGATGGCCCTGGTAAATGGAAGAACCCCATCTAAACCAGTGCCATCTATTTTTAATCAAACTAACCTAAAAGGACACCTATGCTTTCGACCCCAGCCCCTGAATGAGAAAAACTGCAGAACGGGAGGTGTTCTCGTTCAAGTTCCGACGGGCCCCGTCGCGGCCTCTGACGCGGAGGCTCCGTTGACGTCTCCAGGGGCTGCATCGGGGTTTTGCACGCGGAACTTGACCAGGACCTGCTTCTTCTTGGCCTCAGCGAGTAGCAAGGGGTAGGGTGTTGGGCCACAGTTGGCTCAGTTGTTCAGTGACCCTGGAAAAAAAGGGAACCCTTTTTGGGCAAGACCGAATTTTTAGTGGGGCAGCCACCAAAAAAAATGGGAAAAGGGTGCCACTGAACAACTGAGTTGGATGACCCCATCGCTTTGACTGCTTTATCACTTTGATGGTGATTGCCTTGGTGACTGAGTCTTGAATAGATGGTCTGGAAAAGTAATCACTTGCCGATTCTATCTGGCTTTACTTGGGCAAATTCAGCGCCGTAGAAAAAGGCAACCTAAACCCATATTTCCCACGGGCATCCAGCATTGCGCAAGGCAGTGGCTTTGTAGAAGATCCAGGGATAGTACAGTGGATGCCTTGAAATTGCAGGTAGGGACCCAGGGTTCACTTGGATTACTCGGAGAATCGGCTATATGACACATGTTGCTACATACCCTGCTTGATAAACTGAGCTCAGAAGCTAAGCTGTTGTTCACATCGCTTGCTCCAACAATGGGTTGGCAACCAAGAAGGCAAAGGATATTGACCCGCAGTGTTGTGGGTAGGGGGGTAACACGAGCAAGGGGCCGCCAAAAAGCGGTCAGCCACCATTCGCACCAAAGGCGATGTTTCAACCCAAAAGTTGACCTAATATAAATAACGCTGCCCCATCATGTCCCATCGGAATGAACAAATCCTCCGGTCTCTAAATCAATGGGAACTGCCTGGCCTCATTCGTTTACCATGGTGAAAAGTCACCCCCGAAGTGGTGGGCTAAAGGGAAACAAACCACATTTCTGACTTTGATAACCCCCAGAAACCGTGAAAATAATGACCCCTAACCCCCCCCCCCCCTCGCCCTCAGCCACCCCCTCCCCCCCCCACCCCTCCTCCCCCCAGGGCGCCATAGGACCCCTGGCTGCACCGCTTCAGTTTTTTTCTGGCCTGCTTTAAGGGAGTCTTCTCAAAGCAGCGGGCTCGAAGAAGTACACCCGGGTGAAAGTAGATGGTTCTAGGGGTTGATTCCTTGTCCATTCTTTTCAACCATTGTTCTTTCCAAAGACCGGATCCGTTTTCCCTGGGAGTCCGGAGGATTTCTGGAAAGGATCCCTGGAAAGCATGGACATGGAAGGTACCCCTAGACTGGTCCAACTCCCTTTCTTTCGGTCACTAGAGGGACCCACGAAACCCAAATGCCAGGAAACCGGCGTGGACCCCAACGCCAGTGCTCTCAGTTCCCGAGTGGATTGGGAAAAAAAAGGTTGTAAACTTCATGGGGGGAGGCAGGTAAGGGGGGGGAGGAGGAAGCCCGAAAAAGCTTCTTTTTTGAGGGCTTCTTTCGGCTCCCTTCCCCCCTATGCCACTAAAGTGGTCTTAGCAAAATGCAGCCATCTTGGACCCGACTCCAAGTGGGGCCCATGCCATGATCATGGTGTCGGGCTTCTTCTTGGAACCAGTCTCCACCTGCACCACGTGTGCGTGATGTTCACTCCATAAGTTGGGTGCTGTGATCTACACACTTTGCTTTGGGGGGGGAGCAAAATTGGTGCAAACAATCATGCCCTGACGTCTTTGAAGGAAAACCAACTTGAAAGGATCAAATTGAAATCGCGTGGAGCCATGTGAAAGCTTGCTTGGCCCCGACCAGGGGGGTTGACACACGGGAAACAACGCACTCTAAGGAAATTTCTAGAGCTAAGTGCTTTAAAAAACAATTGGGTGACTTGTTTCAGGGCAAATCCCGATTGTTGGGATTGTGTTGGAGTGAAACCAACGGGAAATCACTCATATACACACATGGAATTCGCGGTCGGAAGGGGCCGGGATTTGTCACATCCAGGAATTTTGGGTGCACCAACGCCTCCTTGGCCAAAAACTCAATCTTGCCGCAGTCGCTGATGTCCTTGCAAAGACTCCTCGGTCGTTACGCCGTGAGGCTTAGGGTTGAATTTTTGCAGGTCCATGAATAATGGTGTCCTCTCTGGTTTCCCCTTAAATGTCACTTGACCCTCATCCGGGGTACAAACAAACTCCAACCCTGTTCTTTTTTACCATAAACACACATATATATATATATATACATATACATATATATATATGTATACATACATGTGTTATATATCCATTGCACAAAAACAACATAGCTTTTGAGGAGGCCCCATACTTGCCAACCAAACGGGCGAAGCCACCTACCTTTGGGGGGCCTCTCTCGCCGTGCTGACAGTTCTGGCGCGGCGCCAGTTGCCGGGGATCTCCACCAGCACTGCCCCCGGAAGATGCGCCAAGCGCAACTTCTCCGGGCGCGAACTCTTCGGCTCGTAGATGGCCTCGCCGTACTTCTGCTCCGCCTCAGCCTGCATGAAAGGCCGAAGGATGCCGAAGGGGCACTTGAGCAACACTCACTGAGTTGATTGGCACCCAACATGGAACCTGCCAAAAGGAGGCCGGTGATCTGCTGGGAAACATACCGCTTCGCTTGGACCTGGTCAACCAGTCGCAGCTCAAAAACAATGGCTATGAGTTTTCATGTCACAGTACAGAGGAACCCGCACACAAATGATGTCACCAAAGAGTCTCCAATTGAAATTCATGCACAATTTCGTTACCCAGAGTCAAAGTTGCTTGCCGCAACCGCCCGGTGCTAGCAGAAAGGCATAAGGGTGAATGTCATGCATCGGGTAACTTGGCTTTTCTCAGACTCTCTAATTTGTCGTTGGCTCATTCAAAACTTCTAAGCAAAAACGGAAGCCCGACTTCCCAATCCACCATTTCTTCCCATGGGCCGTGTGAAAAGCAGCTGGACCTTTTTGAGCGGTTTCCAGGGGAAATCAAGATGAACACCTTTGATAGAGGTGGGGCAAAGCCTGGCTTCAGAATGACCTTTGATCGGGTCCTTGGGCAGGGTTGCCCCAACTTGCCAACGACCATGGCATAAGCTAGGAGAACCTACCTTGAGGTTTGGTCATCTTTGGGCAACGGCTGGTAGACACCCGCGCGGTGAAAGAAGCACATTTGAATATCCAATCCCTTGCAAACCTCGATTTCGTCTCTGTGCAAAAGAAAGCTCAAACTGCGGAAAATCGACGCCAAACTCCCGTCCCAAACCACACCCTCAGCCCGGAAGTCTGTTCAATCCTTCCCTGCTAGTTTGAAAACACCCTTTTAGAATACGTGGTATTAAGCCCAAAATCCAGATGGGAAGGACGATTGAACAAACCATGGCAAGTGGAGTCCCTACCTGTCTCCTTTCGCTGGAAATACTCACCACCTTGGCCCATGTCAAGGTTCCTTGGACAAGGGGCATATTTAAGCTTGGCCCACATCTGGGGTACCCAGACAAATAAGATTCGGTTTCAGCCTACCCAAATATAAATGAATATATATATATATATATGAGTAAACATACACTTACACATACAACAACATAGTTTCGGAGGAGACCCCCCCCCCAAAGAAACAAACAAAAGAAACAAACAAACACAAACAAAACAAAAACAACACAAAAACACAACAAAAGCAAAACAAACACAAAACCCTACTCGGGAGGTGCGTTTGAAAGGTCAGCTCCACCTTGTCCATCTCGAAGACTGCGATGGGCCCGGCGGCCAAGCGATTGGCCTCTTGCTCCAGGGCCGCCAGCAGAGCGCCATGGCACTCCTGGGGATCCAAGAGCCCGTGACACCGGCGCAAGTCGTCCACTTGGTGAAGGCCCCAGGGAAAAATGAAAAAACATGTCCAGATTTGGGGAAGGCCACAGGAAAATAAATAAATATATATATATATGTATATATGTCCAGGAAAAATTGAAACAACAGCATATTTCCTGTGGTGAATTCCTTCTAAAACCAGGGACAAAATATAAATATGTCCAGTGGTCCAGCAAGGGAAAATAGAACATATTCTTAAGCAAGTGGAGGAACTGCAGGAACCTGGAGTACGATCCCAAGTTCTTATCCTTCTTTCGGGATGGAAAACAACCTTTAGAAAAGTGACTCCAAGGTTCATTTCCCACAGGCTCAAATGAGGAGTGCAAACAGGCAGTGAATCCAAGTCCAGCATAGAAATATGCTGTGAAATAGATCGGGAAGAAGCCGATTCGACGTACCCACCCCCCTTTCCTCCCTGACTAAGAAAAAAACAGCACCCGCCGCCCTTTCCACCTCCTGACTAAAAGACTCATTCGCAGCAAGCTTCCATTTGTTTCTTTTCGCCCCCTGCAAGCAATGTAATATTTCTGGTAGTGATGTGTCAATTCCCTGTAAACCCAACAGGTCAAATAAACCATATTTGCAAATCGCAACACAATTCGAAGTTGCTACATTCAGGGTTCCCCAAACTTACCCCCTAGAACTCCCTGCGCCCTGGGGAAGATAATCTTTTACAGACATATAGCCCCTGTTCCCCAAAAAGTTACGAAAAGCTTCGTGTTTTTAAGAGGTTCCCCAAAGCGCCCTTCGAAATGGCTCTCGAAATCGTCCCGGACTGCGAGCTCGAGATGCCGCGTTTCTCGCGCCTCCTTGAAGGGCTCCCGGGTGCTGGTCTCCAGGGACCTGAGGGCGCCAAATGGTTCACTCCCCCCATCGGGGAAACAAAAACATATTATATACATATATATATATATATATATAATAAATATATATATATAAAAAAACCAACCAAACAAAACGTGAGTGTGGAAACCCCCAATTTCATTCAAGACAAAACTCGGCGAAGACGTTTTGTTCTCATTTTTTCTGTGGCATTTTGTAGGTGCTCCTGCATTTTTCAACTCAAGCTGTTGTTTTTATAGTTCCGTGGAAGCAAAGAGCAGCCATGCTGCGGTGGACTCCCAAATGTTGCAAACCAAGCAATTCAAGCATGCACCTTTGCAAACTAGGTCCTCCAGTAGAGAGGTTAGAATAAGGGTTCCCTTTTTCTGTGGTCTAGTTGCCGGGCTCGCAAGGTTCTCCCTGGGATAAAGCTAGCCCCGGAACCAGCAAACCCCTGGTTGATTTTGATCGGGGGGGTGTGCCCTCCTAGTGGGGATTCAGACCACTCTTGGAGGGAACACCCCCCAAAAAAATAATGGGACGGGTTGATGAATCCTGGGTCAACATTCTTTTGGGAGGGGGGAAAAAGATCCCGCCCAGCGGCATGGTGAGCTTGGAGCACCCCGGCTCCGAGACCCAAATGGGTTGCAGCTCGCCCCCGCAGGGCCCAGGCCGCACGCCTTAGACACTATGCGCCACGGCGGTGTGGCGCCGCCCTGTGGGCATCTACTGCCGACCCCGGACGAATCATTGCCAAACCCCCCGCAAATGGCCAAAACCCCCCAAAATGGCGCAACAATAGCCCAAACCCCAAAATGGTTCAAACCCACCATAATGGCGAAAATAATGCGAATCATGTCTTATCAACTTGGTGCCGTGTTAGAGGAGTGCTCGCCCTTAAAGTGAAGATCCATTTCAAAACAAAGTGGGGCACCCGCGCTATTCATCCCACAAACTAACGGGTTTTCCATCAAACCACTAGAAGTTAAGCTTTTAGCAGGGGAGCAGAAAGCAACCGAGGGATTGCTTGGGAATCAAGCAGGGCTTGTAGATCACCCCGGCTTTGCCAAGATGCCCATGACTCGGGCACAGGCGCCCCTGATCAGCAACGAGGCTGTTGCCAGGGCGGGCGGCGGCGGGGGCGGCAGCGGCCGGGGCTTCTTCACCTGCAAACAACAGGGACCGCCATAGAGGACCTCCTCTAGGCCCTACAGTAGAGAGGTTAGAATAAGAGTACCCAATTCTTTTTCCGTAGTCTATTTTAGTAGGGGAACCCTCCCCCAAAAAAGGGTAAAAGGGCACTACTTGGGGGACCTAGTCCTGCTGAACCCCAAACAAAGCGCACTTTGAAAGTGACTGAAGGGCGATGTTGGACCCCTCTTTTCCAGAAGTAACATTCTACATGTACTCATACAGCACTCATGCATAAAAACATGCATGCAAGGCTAAGGTATGGTGGCACATCGTCCCCTAATTTACATTGCCCAACACTCAACCACACGGGTATGCATGAGCATAACTACGTAAATGTGCATACTGTAAGTGTTGTTGGGAAACCCTGTGGTGGATTTGCGTCCATGTCCTCCAACAACTTGTGAGGTGAGCTACAGATACAAGTTACCCTTGCGGTCGCGGCCAAACTTCCATTTGCTTCAGCCCCCTGAAAACCAGAAACATATGTCCGATAGTGATAGAACCCCTACAAACTCCACGAATAAAATAACACATATTAATTTCAGCAAATGGAAGTTACCCTTGTGCGTGGTCGCGGCCAAACTTCCATTTGCTCACGCCCCCGGGAAAACATGAACATATGTCCAGTAGTGAAATCGATTCCCTGTAAAAACCAACAAGGGAACCAAAACATTTCATTTCAGCAAATGGAAGATCGAAAATTGTATAGGCCTTGCCTTAGACCCACTCGGGCCAAGTAGATACCCCCGCTTCTAAAAAAGGCTGTGGCTGAGAAATAAGCGCAGGTCTTCGTTTTTGTTTCCATACGCAAACCTCTGAAGCAAAGAATCCAGTAGTGAAATCGAATTCCTTTTTAGACCAACAAGGAAAACTATAAAATATTCATTTCAGCAAATGGAAGCAAAAGAAACGCGGCCAGTGGTGCACCCATCTCCACATCTCCACGGCCGGTCGAGCCTTGGCCTTTGGCTCGGCATCCGGGTAGCCTTCACTCATGGCGCGGCCTGCGGTGCAATCTGGGCGTCTTTGTCTTTGCGGGTTGCCAAGTGCAGTGAGGGCGCGGCGCTTTGAGGGGGGGGGGGGGTGAAAAGCGCCGTGGGGGGGTGAGTCCAAATAAAACGGACTCAAAAGAAACAATGTGGACGTCCTAAATGGGTGGGGGTCCAAAAATGGAGAAAAAAAACGAAATGCTTTGACCAAGATGGAAAGGACCAAATCCAGTGGTCCAATTCCTGGTGGCTGGATGTTGACCCATAGCCAAATGCATACCCCACATTGCCAGCCAATATTGGTCTGCCATTTTTAAGGGGGGTGACCATCTTTCGGTTCATCTTGAAGGGAAGCCAAAAGGAAACCAACCATTTTAGGGGTCAAAAGGAAACCAACCATTTTGGGGGTCAAAAGGAAACCAACCATTTTGGGGGTCAAGTAAAAAGAAGAAGACATACTCACATCAGTCACATAGCATTTTTGCCCGGTCATCGAAATTGGAGCCTCCAAATGCACAGGTCTCCGCAGATCTCCCACCCGCATCTGGGCCCCAATCATAGCACCACATACCCGGCACTCCGCACATGTTCAGATGCCTTTTGCTTTCTCTGCATTCTATCAGCTGGCCACATACTCTCACTGGCTAAGTGGATGGCCCCAAAAAAGTCCAAACTTGATTTTTAGCACTAAAATGGTCTTCCCAAAAAGTTTAAAGTTCATGAACTCAGGAACCCTGAAGGGTTCCGCAACATCTGCAACTAGGTCCATTCAGGCAACCTGCGAAATACCCTTTCAATCATTTTGAGTTGAGAAGAAACGCCTCCTTAAGGCCCCAAGCCCATCCCGCGGAGCCTCGAAGGAAGAGGCCTTAGCAAAGGGCTGGGCCCTCAATTGATGCCTTAGAGGGGTGTTGCTTGGAGGGGAGCCGGTTCTTAGGAGCTGTTCAGGCACCTTGGTACGATCCTTGGAGAGTCGGGGGGATCTTGGACTAGCTCCGTCCAATCCAATCCAAGATGCTGAACCGGCAGTCGAAGCCGTAACCTGGCACCGAAGCCCGGCAGTAGCTGAGGTGGGCCATGTCTGGTTTCAGCTTGGCACTGAAATGGACGATTTTATTGGGCGTTCAATCGGTAATATCTATGGATTTGTCCACATGGGCATCTGGAGTTGGCCCGGCCACTTGTTTGGAAGGTTTTGGGCTTGTGGTGACTGGTTTGGCAACTAGTCATCGTTGTGCCACGCATTTCTCGGCGGCACAAACTGGTCGTCATACAGAACTGGGTGCTTGCAGCATAAAGCTGAAGTACACAGGTGTCTTTTTGGCGCTTGTCCGCTTATTTGCCCAGCCGGGCTCACCGACTATGAAGCACCCCCACATCCGACGGCCTTTGAAGCAAGGAGTTGCCGAAACAAAGACGCGCTCAGGCACGCCGCTTGGGTCGATGTATCCGTGTTCCGGGGTCCAAATCCTTGCTTTTGCATGGCGCTTCATTGCTTGGCGCGTGCACGTGGTGCATGGCAAAGGGCCCTGATCTAACGCCATGATGTTGAAACCAGCGAAGATAGCGAAGCACAGTACCCAAGTTGGAAATCTACCTGTGTCACAAGTAAGGGAGCCTAGAAAATAGCAAGTTTCACATTGTTTCCTCTGTAAACGCCAAGAGTCGCAGCCATGCCAAGGAACTGAACGGTTACCTCGTTTTCTGAATCAAACCAAAGGGCGCATGCCTTGGAATTCCCGTTTGGAGATCCAAGGGCCGGGTCTCTGAAAGTATTCCGAAACCAAGAGAGGGGTCCAACTTGACTTCCTCAAAGGGAATCGGTCAATGATTGGGTGGTTTAAACTGACTAATCCGCAGGACCTGACTAATCGAAGGCCCCCTCCCAGAACCCCATGAGATAGTAATCTGGAGCCACCCTCCGAGAAAAACCGTTCCCACATCCATGAACCAAGCAAAAGCTCCCCAGCGCCTCGCGGTATGCTCCGGCGCAGGAGCAAGTGCAACGCCGTGGTTTTCGTGGGGTGCAATTTTGGAGCAGGTGCAACTAGAGCCCGCTGGATGGGAGCAAGTCTGAGCGATAATTTTCCCAGGGGCGCTTTCAATCTGAAGGAGAAGCGTCCTATGAACTAGGTGTTAGGTTCCCATGCTGTGATCCGAGTGCTAATTGGGATAATGCAACATGCCATTGCGAACATGCTTTCTTTGAGCCGGCATGGGCACACGAGGCCCGGACCCCAGCATGCAACTCAGGTACCTCTGGGTTCCCTCAACTCACGTGAGTGGGCTGGCCCAACAAACTGTCTGAACCTGTTGTTTACCACCGTGGTTTTCTCAGCAAATACATCTCTACTCTTGGTATGGTAGCGAAAAACTTTGTTTTTGCAGACCCCCAGTAAAAATGAACAGAAACAACAAAACTAAAAAAAACAAAAAAACATGTCAAGAACAGTGCAGAATATGTCTGAAAGTCCAACAACTTCGGAAATGAGTCAACATCTCAAGTGAACAAGGTACAAGCCATGGTGAGCTTTCCGGCAATGCTTCTTCACTGGAAATGCTTCGGGATCTGCAGAAACTGGTAGTCGAGTTGGTAGCTTTGTCTGGGTGCCCTCTCAGCTTTGACAGGTGTTGTGTATATGTGATGTAACATGTGCGAAAAGCTGGAGACACTTCCAACATGCACCTGCCTCTTTGCACATGTGACGATTGCTATTCATGCGCTCCCACACAGCAGCAGTTCAAGCATGTGTCTCCCAGCTGGCGAAATGAACAACACATCAGGTTTTACTACCCGATACGCGTGTATGTGGGTGTGTGTGGGCTTGCTTGTGTGTTGAGGGGGCTTGTGCGGTGCTTTTGAGAGTGCCTGTGTGCGCATGTGTATTTCTCAGCGCGCGTGCATGCGTGCAGCCTGTCACGATTCCACAATTCGCACGCAGGCCGGGCTTCATAAAAGCACCCGCCACGTGACATGTCAACGCATCAAATCGTCGCCTACGCGACCTGTCAGTCAATTGCCCAGGCAACCTGTAAAACATGTCGCCGGGAAGATATGGGTGCTCATTTTTTTTTACCAGCTAGGGTTCCGCAGGTTGTAGTCACACCAAGGTGCCATGTTGGGGATTCCATTTTTTGAGCCACAGCCATATGGCCATGGGTCAAAATCCAAATCGTACTCCCAGTGAACATCCCAATCCCCTCTCAAATAGGTTCTAAAATGGGTGGTATGGGCAACCCTCGCCTGGCCAAGGAAGCCGAGAAAGGATTGCTGGGCGTCCCCGCCAACGAGCAGACCCTGAGGCCGAGGCTGGGCTAACCCGCCCTTTGCGGATAGGCTTGCTGGCGATTCCTTATATATAAAAGGAAACCAAATCGGAAATCGTCTATAAAAAGTGGTCAGTCATTCCAACTCATGTTGTGCCTATCGAACAGGGCAAGTTGAAACCTCCAAACAATTTCACATGTTTTCCGGAGATAGATTCCCTGCAATATGGAAGGTTGTGGTTCTGCGTCCCACCTGCCCCCTCTGGGCCTGTAGATGAACAGTGATCACCTCTTGCACTCAAAAGACTAAACATAGACCAAACGGCGAAAAAGGTCAAAAGGTCAAAAGGTCAAAAGGTCAAAAGGTCGAAGCGTTCGAGTCGAACCCCTTTGGACCAGTGACTTCCACGCCGCGGAACCTCTAAGCTTCGAGGTGGACTGCCCCATCCCTGCCCAAGGAAAAGGGTGGTCTGACCACGGCACATGGGTGATGAAACTCCCCCCCCTTTCCGGGGGGCGGGCTTCAGAGCGGCTCGGGGGGGCAGTGCCAACTTTTGAGACACAATATAATAATTCATCAACGGACATGGGTATCCCAAAAAACGATTTTGCTGGAGGATCCAGGTAGGTTCCATCCCTTCGGCCCTCCTCTCCAGCTGCGCATGTCTTTTTTCAGGCAATCCCGTTGCCATGTTGTTCATAGCGGCGCAAACCCAGTAGCATTCATCAGGCCGTGAAATGCCAGTCTCAAGAGACTGCTCCTCAAGAGACTCGCCGAGGAATTTTTTTCACGCCAAAGGAGTGCCCAGTTTAGACTCCCATGCAGTAGCAAAACCCCAGTCTGAGGGTTTTTGTATCACAGCTCACTGGCTGAGTGGATGGAACCCCAAAAAAGTAACCAACCTTTATATGTACCACTAAAATGGTCTTCCCAAAAAGCTTAAAGTTCATGAACTGAGGAAGTGAGACAATCTGAGGGTTTTTGTTTTACACTCTGGGAATACACCCTTGGGAGATGACCCAGAATGGTTCAACATGACATTGTTTTCATCCGGACATGTGCCTAAATGGGGGCAATACCCAGTGGGTGTATTGTCAGGGTGTAATACACAAACCCTTAGACACAAGAATGCCAGTCGATTTTAGGGGTCCCCGTGATACACCAAAGGTTAGAAAAGAACAGGCCGTTCCACTGAGCACGTGGCATTGACCCCAATGAAAAACCACTTTCTCCTCCTTGCGGCTCTGACCACCCGCTTCGGAGAATCCAGTTTGAGCAAATCTTGAGAGAGAAGTACCCTACCGACCAATTGAACAACAGATATGTGATATGATTCCAGCCCCCCTCCCCCAATCTCCTTCTCCGACAAGGCAAAGGCCCAAAGCATATACTCCTTAAAAGATCCTTAATACTTTATGGGGGAAGCTGGGCCAAAAAAAAGGGAGCAATTGCACGCACCTACTTTCCGATGGTGGTCTCCACCACAAACATCGAACTTGGGATGGGCTCTTCCATGGTCTGCATTCAGTTTACCACAAACATCGAGTGTGGGATGGGCCCTCCCATCCCTAGGCAAAAACAACTAGGTCCCCCAGCAGAGAGGTTAGAATAAGGGTACCCTCTTTTCCGTAGTCTATTCTCCCCAAACAGAAACGGTAAGAAGCGCACTACTTGGGGGACCTAGACCAAAAAAGCCCCGCCGGGCCTCGGCTCCCGGCTCTCTCGAGACAGGTGCGCCAGCCTGGGGCTGGGCCTGGGCCCCCCGGCAGGTCGCCACCTTCCGCAAGTCGGCGTGGGACAAGGCCCGGCCGTCCGTGCCCGAGAACCGCTCCACCTGATCCGGTTCTCACAATGCCCCGGTTCGAAGAAGGCCGACTGCCTCTTGGGTGTTGGGGTGTTTGGCCGGGAAGGGGGGAAGGAAGGCAGGCAGGCAGGCAGGCAGGCAGGCAGGCAGGCAGGCAGGCAGGCAGGCAGGCAGGCAGGCAGGACGGACGGACGGACGGACGGACGGAAGGAAGGAAGGAAGGAAGGAAGGAAGGAAGGAAGGAAGGAAGGCGGCCCTTGTAAGGAACAAAAACACATATATACGTGCATATATACATAAATATATTTGGGCCTTGGAAAACAAAAAACAACACACATCATGTGTATATATATATATAGATTTGTATATCTTTGCTTGTTTTGCTTGGGGTAAGCCAACATATGCCCTATGTAGCACCCTGCGAGTTGGTCCCAGTGAAAATGCCCCAGTTGTGCAGTGGCCTCTGCTTTCTTGCGTTCTTTTGGTCGGTTTCTTGTAAAGGATGTCAACCGCAAAAGGGATCCAATGCTTCTTGTTCTTGCCGTCACTGGTTGCACTTTGTTTGCTGTTGCGCTTCCGGCCGGGTGTTGTCTATTTACACCAGCTGGCTCAAAATCCAGGATGCGTGAGGCATGTACTTTTAGTCTGCACCGCACTCACATTCCCGCGACACATTCGCATGTGTTCGGATAGCGCGTCCAAGTTTGATCAAATTCGGATAATGCAAGCCCCATCCATCAGCAAGCAGGACCCCAAACAAGGTGCGCCCACCAGCCATCCATGCGCCCCTTCGGGAAGCTAGAGCTGCTGAGGGCCCTTTCTGTGAGACCAGAGTGACCTGTACGATCCAAGTCGCCCAGTGACCTACTGGCCATCAGAACAAACACGCACCCTTTTTCTTGGTCGTGTTTAATTCAGGTGGAAACTACTCTGGAGTCTCCATGACAGTGAAAAAATGGGGTCATTACCAAAAAAAATTGGATCATTGACCCATTTTTAAAGGGTCATGAAGACTCCAGGCCTACCTAAAAGGAAAACAGGGTGCCACTGGCTACTCTCTCAAACGCTATGAATTTAAGGTGTGTTGGCATCACAGAACATGGGCCAGGGCCAAACCCCATTTTCCGCAAGCAGCAAAGAAACAAATCCAGCCATGCTTTCCTCTGTGGGAAATTGATGACATTCAGTGCAAGTTCACAAAAGGCCCATGTCTCCTGAAGGCCGTTTGCTTCGGAAGGTTTGTGGGAAAAAGCCAATCAACAAAATCCAACATATACTAAAGAAGTCACGCTAAAGTCTGTATCTGCATGTGTGGCACATGCAAAGACCCTGTTCAGAGTATGGCTTCATGTGAGTGTCGCCACAATTCTAAGCGCAGCCTAATGGTGGCCTGCAATATCCAGTCTGATACCATCTGTTACAAACTATCAACCCCAACTGGGCCCCCAACCGAACATCAGCACATCTATGTCCTCCAGTAGAAGGTTAGAATAAGGGAACCCTTTTTTCTGTAGTCTATTTTAGTACGGGAACCCTCCCCCAAAAAGTTGGTAAAAGAGGAGGGCACTATTGGAGGAGCTAGCATGAAAAACACTGGGCGCCCTTTTTGCCCAAGTCGTCCATGACGCCGCCAGCTTTCTGCCTTTCATTCAGCAGCTCTGAGCTCAGCGCAGTGAGGCCCTCGCGGCTGAACTCCTCCTGAAAAAACCGGAGGAAGGGAGGTTTGGTGGCGCGGTTTTTTCCTGTCAACGTGCGACTTGCTGGCACAAAGGACCCATAAACTTGGCCTTTTTGGTGACTGTTTCCTAAAAATGGGATCCCAAGATTGGAAAAGCAAAAGGTGAAAAGGTCGGAATTTTGGCCAACAAAAGCCAAGTCTCCGCAGATTCTCGTTTCAACTGGTGAAAGGGTGAGGTTCATAGGTGAACCCATCTGCAAAATTGACAATAACTCCCAAACCTGACCCAAGTAAAGGATCTTTCCCACCCTAAGCTCGTTTTACGAGCTCGCCATGAGGTATGCACAATTATTAACCTGGAACCAGCAAAAACAAGTTCCACAGGAGTTTCCTCTACAAGCGGGGGTGGTTTGGGTTCCGTGTTGATTCACAAAGGTCATGTCTCTCAAAGCCAAGGGGCATCAAAGCGGCCTACCATTCACAATCAAGGCGCTTGCTTGAAAGGTACACACGCCACAATCAAAGTTGTTTCCTGGCTTGGAAAGCCTAACACACGCACACAAACAGCTGAGCCATGTCCTAAAATCCTAAACGTGTCATGATTTGCTATGTCGTATCATTATGCTTTCGCCACCAGCTTACGCCACCTTACGCGCGTGGAGTTGTTGCTTACGCGCCACATTTGGAGGCTTCGCCACCAGCTTACGCGCGCGGAGTTTTTGCTTGCGCACTGTGGCACAGGCCCTCAAAAAAGCACACCCCCAAGTTCCGCTCCACCACAAGCCAGCACAAACTGGGGCAAGTACCATCCCAGCACCAATTGACCTCTGGTTGAAGGCCATGTACCCACTTCAACCAAAGGGCCTGGTCAAACATCCAAACACATGCTGAAATGGTTGTCGTTGAAACCCGGCTGTCGAAGCGTCTTCATCACGGCCAGAAATGCCAGGATGAACAACCAACTCAAAACGCTCAAGTTCAGCAATCTTGCGATTAAGTCGGCTCTCTCAGAAACGGGAGGCAAAGATCAGTCAATTAATCTATCCTCTGGCGCTCCTTTGGGGAAGCATGCGCACCCATGAACAAGGGATAGAAGAAAGGCAACCGGTCCCCTTTGAGGGTGTGGCGAAGAGAAAGCACCCTTTCGAATGCAATCACTTCTTGGAAAACATGATCCGGCCTCAGACTCATGACATTTCCTCCTGGCTTTCGATTTAGGACGCACCTCGATTTGAGGGAGGAGACGCCCGCCATGAAATATACTATCAACAAAACGCACACATGCTTTCACGGATCTGCACGCCATCCCGACGAAGTTGCCTAATTTCGGCTCAAAAACGGATGGTAGATCTAAATTATATGTAATGTCCAGCTCTTTTGGCCTTCAAGTACCATCCGGGCAAGGCAAACAATGACTGGAACATGGTCCCCAATCCCCATTTTTTACTTGAGCATGTGTCTGAAATAGGCGGGCCCAAAATAGGCTCTGCAGGTGGTTTCCAACTCAACCAAACCAAACATTGGTAGCAACCCCGCAAAGAACACATTGTAAGGGCCTGAAAAATCAGGTCAAGGTTGAGGGGTGCTATTGAACCCAAACTTGGCCACGAATCTGGGATACGATTCACAATTAGTTCTCCCCTACCGGAACCTCCTTAAACATGGGAAAAATGGGACCAACCGCAACCTGAGCTGCCTCGAACATGCGGAGAAACAAACAACGCGACATCGCCACATCGCCATGGTGTCCCTTTCTCCCGGCAAGACAGTCTCAACATGAAAAACCCGGAAAACAAAAAAAAAAAACAATCAAAGGACCAAAAAAAAACATCAACATGAAAAAAGGGGGGGGGGGGGGCGAAAAAAAAAAGAAAAAAAGACCTCGGCACCTCGCCGTGAGGTCTTTCCCTTTCTCCCTGGCCCCCAAAGCGCCCGTCTCAGGATCCTTGGCGGATTCCCAGCGCGCCGGGCTGCGGTCCAGGTTCACCACCAGAGCCTTGGGCATCTCCTTGGTGCCTGGCACTCAGCGGCGCGGCGCGGCGGAGCGGCTGGGGCCCAGAGGGGGCACTGGACGAAGCCGAAAATCCAAGGGTTGGGGCAGAGGAAAAGACAGGAAATGGGCCCAAAACCGCCGAAGCCAGCCATTTTCCTGTACTTCCTGTAACCCAACCCTTTGATGAAAGTTCAGAGTTCGGGGAGAGACAGAGAGAGAGAGAGAATCTGTACATCTCATATTACTTTCGGTGTAAGATGTGTGCCAAGATTAATTTTGAAGATTGCGGTTATCACTTTGTGTCATAATGTTGACCCAGGATTAATAAACACGTCCCATTATTAGGGGGGTGTTCCCTCCAAAAGTGATGAATCCCCACTAAAAGTGGACACCCCACTATGAACTGACCAGGTGTTTGTTGGTTCCGGGGTTGACATTACATTCCTCGATCTTCTGAGATTCCTCGAACTTTCCTTTAACTCTGAAAGGATTGGATCCAGTACAACTTGCCAATTCGAGAATTAAGGGAATGATCGAGTCCGGGTGTTGGGAATGAACCGTTTGGCGATTCCCGAAAGGAAACCAACTCGGGGATGGCTTTTCTTGGGGTCCTTCCATTTCTCACTCTCTATGGAACCAGCAAGCATAAGCCTTATCTTGCCTTTGCTGGGTTCTGTGCTGGTTCCCGTTCGGGGAAAATCCCGAGGTCAGCGCCTAGAGCGATCCTGGAGACCTCGAAGTCAGGGACGGGAAGTGAGCTTGAACGTGCGAACGGATGGGATTCAAAGCAGCTCGAAACATGGCCCCAACCTTCAGACCCCATGTGCCAAGGAACTAGCAGACTTTCGGGCAAGAGAATCAGCGGGACTTGCCCATCAACTCGAGCAGCAAGCCGCCCAGGCAAACAGGCACGGAATGCACAGGGTGAACCAATGCTGCTGTTCCACGAATACCAAATGTCTAATCATCTGGCAAATATGGCAAACCCAGGCATGGTCATTCCCAAACAAAGGCCCAAAGCGGCCTTAATTAACGGCGTGGATTGGCCTCAGGGTGTGGCCGAATGCCCGCTCAGCCATGCACATTGCAACACACGTCAATGCTGGGGCCAACAAAAACATGGAATGAGGTTGCGGATGTTTAAAACAATATACTAGAGTCATGACGAAAAGGAGTCTTAGGGCAAAATGCCCGAAATATTTGTTGCAGCTAGTAGTTGCATTGGTTGCAAAGCAACTACATGCATTTAAGGGAAGGCAGAAGCAGCCAGCACCAGGCAACCGCAAACCTCAAAAATATCGCAAACGCCGCCACAGAACAACACGAAAGTCGTATCGGCCGATACAACCCCCCAGCAAAAAAATATTCGCGTAGAAACTCGCTGTCATGTTCCAAAAGGCTTAAGAGCCGGCAAGTGACAAACAAAAGCATCCGAGCAGCGAAGACCAAAAGCGCAGAAGGCAAGGTTCCCAGCTCGTGTGGGAATCTTCGGCATCCTGACAGCCGATATTTCATAAGGACCCACGCTTGCTGTGTCTCTTGCCCCATATGCGAAATGGTTGGGCCAAACTGTTTGCTTAAACTAAACTACTCTGGACGGACGAAATCCATTTCGCACCACTTTGAAACAATGGTTGAAACCAAACTGTTCGTTGGTATTTACGTTGGTTTCTGAACGGTGGTGCGAAATGGATTTCGGAACCATCCACACCATAGAAAAAGCTAGGACGCCAAAGGAACAGTTCAGGTAGATGCACCCCGTCCGAAACTCACAACTTTGAGTTTCAGCCTCGCCTTTCATGCCTAAATAGCCATGCACCCCTGGCGAGGCCCCACTGCAAGTTTTTGCTGGTAAACATGGCTCACCCCTTGCATCTAGTTTGTGCATCTGAGAATGTGTATATTTCGAATCCTCCCTTAACTTCCATTTGCTTAAGCCCCCCGGAAAAAATAATAATAAAACGTATTCTTAAGCAAATGAAAGTTAAAAGTTGGTGGCGGTTCCCGTCCTCCCGTTGTACCGAACCATGGGCCTACCCAAAGCCTAGGATTCACCACGTTAAGGGCAGGAACTCCTGCTTGGTTGCCTGCGAGCTTGTTGTTGGTGAAAAAATCGGCACATCTTCCCAAAAAGTTAAAGTCCAAATATCCGTTTCCGACTCGCCATCTTCCCAAGATTTGCCAAAGTCCAAAGATCCGTTTTTTGCAAATTAAGCAGCCAGATTCGGAAAATCTTCCCTAGTTTTGAAAAAAATCCAAAGATCCGGTTTTTCTCCCCACCTAGCCATCAAGCTCTGCTTTTTCCCAAACCTTGACCCCCCCCCCCGGTCATCTGATCTCCGGATCTCTCGCCTGTAGCCTTGGCTTCAGCTTCCGCCCGCTGGACTGGAAGGCGACTCCGCCAGCGGAGGCTGCCCAAAGAACCTGGGCAAAGAAAAGCGCTGCCTGGAGTCTCCTTCTGACCCGAAGAAGAAACTCACCTTACCTGGATCCAGGACCGGTCCTGGCCCAGGAACCCGGTCCCAGGACCCGTGCAGGATCGAGTCCTAGTGCGACCGCGCTGGTATCGGATCCCACTGCCTCCGCTGTGTCGGCTCGAACAGGACTCTGCCAGTCCTGGTGCCACCTCAAACCGCTCCAGGCACCTGTTTCCTCCAATGTCGCTGTTTTTGGACTGGTCCCGGTCCCTGCCTGCGACCGGTCGAGGGCACCGACGGCCTTGTTTCTAGGACCACTCCCGGGCCAACTCGACGTGACTTGGGCGTGAGCCGGCCCAAGCGGTAATTAACGGACTAGCTGCCATCTTTCTGACTTTTCCGTTAATCCTTGTTTGTGGTCCTAGAGGATCTTATAAGTGGTTGCTGGGGTTGCGGACTGGCACCCGTGTTTCAGGACCGGTCCTTATGACTTTTCCCTTAATGCGCCGAGGGTCGGCGGCAGCAGGCGGGAGCCTGGTTAATCCGGCTACGCCTCCTTGGGGTAGCATGTCGCCGCTAGGCAATTAGCCTGCTAGCTTTAGCTATAGGGGGTGCACCCTGGTGCCGCCGACCCTCGCCACTTGGTCGTGATGCGCTGCCTAAATCCGGCACCTCTGCATCACCAGCTCGGGCTTGTGGTTTTGCTTGCCTGTGGGAAACCCTCGCAAAACATCGCGAATATGCAGGGTTTAGGCCATGTGGCTGGAATCATCACGGTCTGGGGTTGGGCCTGGGTGATGCTTCAGCGGGGGCTTGGTCTGCATCATCAAGACTTCCTTCCAAAAGGTATCGGCGGGATATAAGCGAGGCTCATTTTCGCGCATTTTGGCGCCAAGCGCCCCAGCCACAAAACGCTGCTATTTACGGTGTTTTGTTGCTTTTGCGTTTCCGGGCTTGAGGGCTGTTCTTTTTGGGCTGCTGTTTCTGCGGCCTCTGGCGCGCGCGCGCGACCCGATGTCAGCCTTCTGGTTTGGGTCCCGGCTAGGGCCCAGAAAGCTGGCATCCCCGGCATCATTTGGGGTTGGGGTGGGCAACATGCATAACCTAACCAGCCATATCATAGCACAGGATACGTTTCTCATACCAAAAAACATGACATGACATGGTATAACTTCAAAGAGGCGTAGCCGGCTAGAGGCCGCAGGCCCAGAAAATAAAAGGTTAACCTTTTGGGACCTCTACTTAAAATGGACCAAAAAGGGAAAGCCAAAAGGTCAAAAGGTCGGCTTTGAACAACTGAGAAAATGGTTGGTCATTACCCCAAATAATGGTTAGTAATTGACTCCCATTTTTAAAGGGTCATGGAGACTCCAGGTAAAAGGTAATCGCCTTTTGGGGCCATGACTATTTGTTTGGCCAAAATTGGACAACCACAAGGTCAAAAGGTCGATTCGCTTTGAACAACTGAGTGCGTCTTTGGTTTAAGGGTTTCTGCATGGGATCGGATGAACTCTCCACCCAGAAGCAACCACGGCTTTTTTGGAGGAAGCCCAAGAATTGGTGCTTTTTTTGCAACCAAAGACAGGAAGACCGAAGCTATGTGTTTCAGGCTCTAAGGCATTGCTCTCTCTTCGAACCCCGCCGGGCACCTTACAGAGTAAGAGGCAAAGACATTGTGCCCATATGCGTCCTTCTGGTAACGTAGATGGGGTTCCCTGGTAAATGGCGATTAAAGACCCATCGAAACCAGTGGAAACCATCGATGCGTATCCAATCTAACCCAAAAATGGAAACCTATGATTGCGACATGATTTTGCAAACACATGCTTCGTTGCAAAGCATTTGGCTTGACGGTTTGGCGGCTAAGACGCGTTGGAGAATCTTTGCAAGTACACTAAGACATTTTACTCTAAAGGGACGGGCCACATCCAAAAAGGGGACCTGTGTGAATTACATTTCCCCTGAAGCAAAACCATACTGCATGCCGAGGGGTTGGGGCACATGACTTCCAGTTCAGGGACATGGTTGAAGCTGATTTTTGTTGCACTTGGGAAGCCGGGGCATCTCAGGCTGCAAAATGGTCATAGAAGGACTTCAAGTCGACCCTTGGGTCCTTTTCGAGGGTTATTCGACTTCGACATGATCCGCTTCTCCATGATTCGAAATTGCAAACAGCTCGGGATCGCGATGGATTGCAAATCAAAGAAGAATTGCGCTTTGAGATATGAAGGGGGGGCTGCTACAAGACATGTAACCCTTTTCAGCATGAGTACCTGCAGCCATGGCAAAAGGAATCCATTTTGCCAAGGGCACCCTCGGCACTAAACGAACCCACTCGCCACCATAAGTCTTCCCTCTTGGCCGTTGCAGTGGAAACCAACCTCAGGCTTCCAAGAAACACAAATAAGGGCGGAATCTAACGATTCGGACCAGGCCCTTTGTTTCGCCTGATACCTTGTATCCGTTTCAAAACAGGTTGCTGCTGGACAGCTGGGCTGGGGGCAAAAAATGCGAAGGGCGCACAAAGAAATGAGAGATGCTCACCTATTGGGGCCACTAAAAGTGGTTGCCACAAAGCAGAAACCTCATTTCGCAGGCCAGTCACCTCTCAGCGAAACGACCGCGATCACCACGCCTCCGCTTCCGAAGCGTCTCGGGCGGCTTTTCGCCGACAGCAGCAGGCCCCCGCCACAGACCACGGCGGCGTGGGCGGCTCCAAAGCTTCCGAAGCTTCCGGCGCCGGCGCTGGGCTCAGGACCGGTCCTCGAAAGGAAGAAATTATGGAACGTGAACCTGGCGTCTCCTTCTGACCCGAATAAAAAAATGGTTGGTCACTACCAAAAATCATGGTTGGTCATTGACCCATTAAGGGGGTCATGGAGACTCCAGGTAACTGATTTCCGTGGTGGTTTCTGCGAGATGTCCATTGTAGTTTCTGATAGACTTCCTTTGTGGTTTCTGAATGGTATTTCCCCTTATTCTATCCGCCAACCAACAGGGCAAAGGGGAATGACCGGAAGATCCATCCCCTGGCTCAGTCGGGGGGCATTGAGGGTTGGGGATTGCTACTAGCACTCAGCGTGGGAAGGGGTGCTGGTGAAACATGATGGGGCAGCGGTTGTGCTAACACATATCCACATACGCAACCACAGCACGCAATTTACAAGGTGCGTTTTCTCCTCCATCAACAGGTGGGCACTTCCAGCAGCAATCTTCTGGTGGAAACAGCATCGAACCGTCTGCTATTCGAGTAATGTTGACCCCATATTAATCAACGCCTGTTTATTCGTCGGGTGGTTTCCCATTTACCCTCCACAAGATGCGAGGGACCAAATCCCCAAACCACAAATTCAAACCACCATTTTTGAGGGAAGCTGAAAGTATGTTCAAACAACCTGGAAAACAAAAAAGGAAGCCGATTCCAACCTTCAACCTCTCGCGCTGGGTCTCAAAAGGCTTTCCTCAGTTGACCATGCCACAGATCAAATGAGGCACCCCCGCAAACAGGAAGTCCCAGCATTTCAGGCATTTCCATCATTTGTATCCAACAACGAGGTGTTGGAGACGCTGTAGTTTCCGCTTGGTTGCATTTTAATGCAAACAAACATGTGACGGGTTCCTGACATTTCAGGAAACAAGCTTCAGCTTTTGGGCCACTTGGCCGCTCCGGGTTGTACACCTCGGTTTTTCTCGGGCTGTCCTTCCTTTTTGTTCTCCTTTTTTTTCCTCTGTGACACAAATGGTGGGTGTTCATTTGGTTTCGGCCCTTCAAACCACCCCAAAATGGGGTTCTGTCAAAAAAAGGGGCCCCGCCCCCAAATAAACCGTTCCTGCCTGCGAATCTTCCGCCCAACTCGCCGGACACCCGGACTGGTGTAAAAAAATTGAGGCTCCGGCGACAACCGGCTCGTCAGGTGCCGGCCATGCTGCGGCGCCTGAAGGAGGCTGGCGAGGTCTTGCGGTGGATGCCCTGATGGTTGCGACATCCGAGTCGAAAGCGTCAACCTGACTGGGCGCTGCTCCAATACCCCGTGAACTGCTTGACCTGTGGCTGAAATGGACATCCCCTCTAAACGCCAAACAGCTAAACACCTCAGAGGGCTGGGAAACCACCAAGCTAAGAATCCCTAGCTCCAATAGAACCAAGGTCAGGTTCCATGTTTGGAAGCCTGCAGTTGGATCACAAAGCCAAGGCGGCCAAGGTGTTGCCAGTGGGTTCGTGCCATTGGTCCCAGGAAAAGTGAAGTCCAGGCATGAGCACCCGGACCAAACCAAGTCTTAAAGCACCAGGCCTACCAAGGCTCACAGTGCCAGACCCTACCCGCAAAGGGCCACACCAAGCATTTGGTGATCTTCGCTCAGTTCCGCCGACCTTCTCATCTTTGGCTTTCTCAGGTTTTGGGGGCCTCGGGGCTCTCAGCGGGTCCCTGATGTTCTAGAGGGTGAGTCCAACCATTCTGTTCAGCCATCGTTCTTTTCAAAAACCAGCTATTTCCCCTGGGTCTCAACAGGCTTTCAAGAAAGATTCGGATCCCTGGAAAGAATGTGGAAGGTACCCCTAGAGAAGTGCGAGTCTCACTCAACCACGGGGACCTTGCCAACAAACCGCATGTTCGACCAAAGTTCAAGGGAGGCCCGGCTCAATCAGTCTTATGGGCTTCTTAACAAGCGTGTGGTACAGAAAAATGTCGGCTTCGCGGTAATGTTACGCCTGCTTTATTGATAGTCCCCTCTATTGTAGCACTGGTTCCACTGACTGGTTCCACTCCTAGCGAGGGGGGGGGGGGGTGTAAAGAGGGTCCAACATTAATGAGGCTCTGCACTGCGACGCTTCCAACCCATGCCCGTGGCTTCCAAAAATCTGCGAGGCCCCACCGGCGCCGCCAGGAAGGTCAAGCCCAGCACCTGGCCGACCGCCGCTTCCATCTTCGCAAGATGGCAAAACACTTATATATATATATATACATATATGTATATGTATAAATATATATATATATATATGTAGATGTATAGGGTTTCTGCAAAAAGTTTCATGACTTTTTGTGGTGGGGGGGGCGGGGTGGGAGGGGGAGAGGGGCGGGGTCGGAGGGTGGTGGCGGTACTAAATCAAGAAATGCAAATACATATACATATATGTGTATGCATATTGTGTTTTTTCTATGTATATATAGAGAGCATACTGGAGTGATGTGCATGACGCAAATAGGGTTGCTTTTTCGGAGGCTCAGGTGGATAACACAATTGTTAGTCCCCCTAGTTTGACGCCTTATGTTTTGGCCTGGGCGACCCAGTAAATAAGGTTCTAACAACTGGATTCTAAACGCATGCACCCTATGGTTCACCCAGGCAAGGCTCTACCATGGCTAGCCTCTGCTATTGGTGTGAATGGGTTTGCCTCAAATTCATTGGCTTTCTTGATTCTATGGGTGGTGGTGCATGGCACTTCGCTGATGCCACAAATTCGGACAAATTGCGGGGGAGGGGGCGTATATCAAGACCCAAGTGTAACTTACTCCTCAGGTTCGCGCTCGACGTCCGGCGCCTTGGCGAGAAAGCTCATGGTGTGTCTATGGCGGCTGAAGCCAAGCTTGGGCCGCGGGCGAAACCTACGAAGGCGCCGCGAGGTGGGGCAAGGGGGTGGGGTGTTTCCCGCAAAAGGTAAAACTAAATATTTTACATGTAAAGTCTCTAGGTCCTCCAATAGAGAGGTTAGAATAAGGGTACCCTTTTCTTCTGTAGTCTATTTTAGTAGGGGGAACCCTCCCCCAAAAGGTTGGTCAAAGGGCACTACTGGGGGACCTGGGTCTTTATGGGGGCGCCATCAAACTCTGGGTCTTGGCTGCAGAGTACAGCTTGACAAGCAAAAAGGCGCAGCACTTTTGAGCAGCCGCAAACAAGGCGACTCTCCCACAAAGCAACTTCCCTAAGAGGGAGGGCTTTGCAGGACCCGGTGATTCCATTTGGCCGTAGGGAGCCAAGGGTTCCACCCTTCAAAAACCAAAAGGACAAATTAAATGGTTACCTGCTGTAGTGGCTTGCCAGGGATCCACGGAGGGTTGCTACTCCCAACACGGATCGCTTCACGTCTCCTCCCGAAAAAGGGACTGGGGCAGAAAGGGTTCCAAATTCAGACATGGTCTTTTCTTTTTTTCACCGTGTGTGTCTGCTTTTTTAAGGGACCCCAAAGTCGGTGGTTTCCGCTTGGAGCCTTTTTGAAACCACCAACAATGGCTTCCCTCAAAAACATGCATAGCCCTCTGTCCTCTACAGCAAAGAACAGCTGAACAGCCGTCAGCCTGCCGCTCCAATCCAAGTTTTGGCTGCATTTTCCGAGATCCGCGTTGCTCAGCCAACTGTCCTCACATGACTGAGAGGTGTCAACGTGCCACAGGGCCCATCAGAGTTTGGGGAAATCCCTTCGTGCTTTGCTTCCCCCAGGGAAGGAAGTCACCGGAGGTCTGAAGGCTCAGTAATGGGCAACCACTGTGGGTAGCCCCTACCGTGAAACTTAGCTGTTGCAAGCGCTCAAAGCCGCGAGCAACCAACACATATGGGTCTCTCTGCAAATATGAAAGGCCTTTCTTGTGTTGACGGGGCTGCCAGGAAGCGTTTCGAACAAAACAACCAAGTATGATATCAACTCTAGTCTGTCATGACTTTATTGAGTATTGTTAACAGGTCGAAGCCAACGCTCCCACTACGCTGGCATTTTGGCTGCAGTCTCCTTGTTGCTTGTTGTTGGCTGCAGTCCCATCACGCAAGTCCATGTCGCAGGAACCATGTTCCTGACACAAGCCAAACGATACTGATAACTGGGGATGAGCGAACTCCAGCACCAGTTTGGATGGATGCAACCCTATGAAGGAGCAAAACCACCTACCCCCTGGTGCTGATTTTTGTCCATTCAGGCCCTGCCTCTTGATTGAAATGTGTGTTGCAAGCGGGTTCTGGCTCAAACATCTGGAGGGGGGGAGGGTCACTTGAAACACCTGGTGAAGGTTGCACAAAGCATAAGCACGCTCCTACCTGCCCACCTCTGCTCTGGGTGTGCAGCGCGTGCGCGCTAAGCGCGTGCAATAATGACAAGCAGGGCCCGTCAGGGTACGCCTTTCACACGCTTGTTGGCCTTCGAGCCGAGGGCTAGACAGTTGACCAACTCAGCCAATGGCAAACGGGAAGGAAACCAGAGCACTTGGCGAAGGAAAGCCCAGGTAACAACCCAACTGTCGCTTCTAGTTCGTGTGTTTTCTTCTTTTTTTTCATAAAGGAATATTCACCGACCTGTTGGCGAGATAAAGCACTGACAAAAAGCTTCAGTGAACCGAGCTGATCAAGTCACGTGCCGCGAAGCCCTCTAACAGTTCACTTGACAAGGTTTCTCACCTGATTCACAATCAAAACCCGGCATCAAAATGGTTGACCCAGAACCATGTAAGGAAATACAAAGGCGGCCGCAACTATTTCTGGCTGCGATTGTCCCTTGCTAACCTTCATCTACCCGGGTTTTGATTGTGGCTCACCTGTTGCGTCCGCTGTTGAGGACTATGAGTACCATTTTTTCGGACAATCCTCCGTAGTGAATCTCAAAGCCCGTGCAACTTGAACCCAAAACCAGTCCCCTGAGATCGCCCCGAGACCGGGCGCTCTGCTGAAAAAAATCCGGGGGCCTTCGGCCCAGAGACGGTGCATGTTGCAAGTCTCCATCTATGGAGGCGCTGGCCGGGTCCCAATTGTTCAATCGCCTGATCTGCGGTCTCCAAACTGATGTTACGGTTTAAGGTGGGCTGCCTTGACCTGCTGAAAGTTTTTTTGGGCTGTCACGCGTACAGTGATCCAGCTCGTGGACCTTTCTACTTGCAAACGGATAGCTCCATCCTGACGGCCTCCTGCTGAAGCTGGTATTTGCGTAGGCCTCCCCGACGAAGGGACGCCGAATGCTTGGGAGCATTTTTGCGAGAGCCGCTCTTGGAAGTTGACAGCGCATAAAAAAAAAAAAAAAACGGGCAGATCGGCAGATTCCTCAGTTCCTAGAAGTGGCGCGAGCTTTCTTCTGATCATGCAAGAGCCATAAACCCAAATCTCCTGATCAAACCGTTGAGATCTGCTATTCACCAGCAATTAGAGTCATTAGAGGTCCTCCTCCTGCTTAGACACGACCAAGTGGGGCATGCCGCCCCGGGCTTTCGAAAGAACCGGACAGGCCAGCACAACCGCAAATCACTTTAGAACTTGAGGCTCTCCATCTTAGCCTGGGCGAGATGTCGGATGGACAAACCAAGTCATCAAAACCATAAGCAGCTGAAACATATGTTAGAACATATTGAAAGAGGTGGTTGACCAAGTTTTATAATTAAGTAAGGATAGTCCAGGCAAATATCCCTATCTGACCATCCAGAAGTTCAGCAAGATTCAAACCTCGCCTCGTTTTGGATCTTCACACTGCGAAGAGAATGCTCAACAAAGTATGCGCGATGCAACCTGCAAGTACGACGTGGAGGAACAAACAAGACTGAGCAAATTAGATTGTGTGTGCACGTCATCATCCTTGGCACGGAGGTCGAGAATTGCCCCGCTGCAAAATACCCGAGTCCGCAGAGGGACTAGCGATCTCAAAACCCACGGCCACAATGCCATGCCAAGCAGAACAGGCCGAGCGATGACAACTGTTTCCAGCGGAACAACTGACAGGGTTCAGTTCCAAACTGACTCCAAAAAAGGGGCATCCTCAAAATTACGTCAGTTTTGCGGTTTGAAGGGAAACGGACCCCCCAAAGGTGACTTTGAGAACAGGTGAGCACCCCTTACATGTTCACATTAAGGAACCCACAACGCACTCTGATGCAGTCACCAGCCAGCCTGTGTCAAGGAGTCTCGTCCAGCCAACGCTCTACCTGGGCGAAAGCAAGATCAGACCTGACCTAAGTCCTAGGTCTCCTTTTGAACAAACAGATGACACCTATAATTACATGCTAAGTTGGCTGGCAAAAAAAAAAAAGGCCAAAACCTCCCGCCGGGTCGGCAAACGCCGAAGAAGGCGCACAACAACGGCTTCGTTGGTGCAGGGCATTTCCCCCGTGTAATGGCTAAGTAATCCCCTCAAGGTGTGGATATCTATGCGAGGCGCAAACACGAATTTGAGGTCCCAAGCCCGAGACAAGCACATTTGCAACAAGAAACTCTTGGGGGGGCAGGGGGGAGGCAGTGCTAGCTTCACAGGCGAGCAGTACTAGATAAGAAAGCACCAGGTCGGCCACTCAGGGCAAACACTTGGATGAACATTCGAATTGCGCAGCTGCAAAGGCAAAGGCAAGATGGCCAACAAGTGCAAAGCGCATCTCCCACTTGTCTTCAAGCGCCTGCTTCAAACCTACAACTTGCACAACTAGACAATTGGAACAATGGAGCGGAAAGGGGAAGGGGATAGAATTCAAAGGCAAGACCCACGCCTTCTGAAAACCAAAGTATAGTTCGATAGCTTTAGCATGATTATCATTTCTCTCTCCCCACTTTTTCCCAAACCTCCACCCCCCCGTCGCAAAGGTCCAGCCTTGTCATTCTTCCAAATGCCGGTACGACTTTGTCCGTGAGCATTTGTGTAGGTCGCCCGCCTCAGTGACTACTCAGCTCCCATTGCCCTGAGGCTTGACCACAGCCCGATCGGCACTGTCCTTGAGTTTGTGCCCGCACATGGTTTGGTTCACCTGCAATTGGGGAATCCACCGCAGGACACGTAGGAAACGGGTGTCATTTTTAGGGGCCCCCGACAATACTGTCCTGTTGGCTTCCTTCTGCCAGAAACAATGGATCAAACTCATTGAAATCTGCAAATCGCCGGAAAGCAGTACCCACAATCACACCCACAAGGAAAACCATTCTTGCGACAAGTCTGCAGGCTAACGGAGACATCCCAACACGGAGGTTTGCAC